GGCGCTGCTGCGTGCTGCGATGCGCTGTCCATCCGCTAAAACACCTCCCGCCTACTTGCCCGGCAGGTGGTAGACAACTAAGGTAGGTAGGTAGATGCTGTGGTGCATCCATTGCAACCATCCATGCGAAGGGCAGGCAATAGCAGGTAGGACAGGTAAGGTTGGTTGGCTGGCTGTTGGCTGCCAGGAGCCCGGGAAAGAATCCTGGGAAAATCGAGGTGGGACATGGTGGTACTTTATTCCTGATCAGCAAACACTGATCGAGATAGCCTCATCACCGCCATGTGGAAATGGAAAATACCTAGGTATGGTAAGATATGCAGCATCAGCAATAAACAATCAACAAGCCAGGTAGGAACAACGCCTCTCCGACTACCTTGCAATTTTCTGTGCCTCCTGTGTTGTGAGTGTATCCTTGCAGTTGAATAGAGTGGGATTTATTAATAGCAAATTACCTACATAGCATCTCCGATTGGGATCCGTGTGTTTCAGAACTCAACGCCAGGACAAATGTGATGTATAAATTACTTGACAGCTCGGGGATCGTAGTCGAGGGTGACTAACTGCATAGTGAAGCAATTAAACAAAAAGAAATAACAGCGCATGAAAACCAGAATCAAATACTCAAGCAACTGAAATTGTCAGATGGGCCTATAAGGGAGCTGGTGAGCTATTCCATGAATGCATCTGAGTGACAGTGGTTCCTCGTTTGCGTAGAGGCAGTCCATCTGTTCTTACTCGGGAATTATTAGGTAGGCATCTCTTCAATCCGTAACAACGGGTGCCTCTCAATTAATCACAGACACAATCCCTGCGCTCTGTTGAAGAAAAAGACCAGCCAGTGAGAAGCGGCTTACCGGGCTTGGGCCAGTAATAATACCAGTTTTGCGGTCTCAGTAGGGCACGCCTTGGGGGAGGACGCGTTCTGTGGGGAACAAGCTCCAAGTTCCAGGCACCGCTTCCATAAAAAGATACTTATTTTAGAGCAAGGCTGAAAAAAGTGGAAGACTGCAGCGAATGGGGGCCACCGCTCGAGGCCACTAAAATGCTCGCTCCAACAGTTCCGTAAGCCTACGGATCTTCTGCCTCCATCGCATCATCAGCACATTTGCGCCATGCGAATGGTGTCGGAGACGCTCGCTGTCACTCCCAGTATGCCTATTACAACCAGCTCGCCGATACGAAATGTCCGGCTGTTTCAGATGCTCTGGTGCCCGCGATGAGGCAAACAGACGTGCAGCTTGCAATCATCAGTCTAGGTACATGGGTAGTCGTAAACACTTGTTGTTAGCTCGTACCACACGCAGCCTCTTCCTCTACTGACGTCGCCCAACGGGATTACAGAGGAACCAGGAATAGATCGGACGTCACGGACCAGGGCTGCCGTGCAGTCCCTGCCAGCAGATGGATGGATCACCCGGGACAGGCCCTCTTTGTACAATTAATACCTTCTAGGTCATCCCTCTGTTGGGCTTAGTCTACGGTATAGTAATATCATCCCATCCGTTGTACCTAGGATCCTCGCTTTGAACGTACCCAACTGTTTGGTCTTGTCCGTGCATATTCAAACAGCGGGGGCCCATGACGGGATGAGTCGGTTCTCGTTCATCTTACTTCCTCTTGTATTCGCAATCCATTTCGTATGTTTTCTTCTTCCATCTTCAAACTTCCTGTAAGTACTGCATCCTCTTTCCTCAGCATCAAGCCTCTAGGATGCTGACGGCTATTCAGCAGTCAAATAGAAGATCGGGACAACCAATATTCCATCTTCATGTCTTGATACTGTTGGGTTCGACTCGGCTGGGCCAATAACTTCTCTTCACTGCTACTCGGATTTTTGGGATTTCTTTTTTTTTCCTTTGTTATTCAGGAATACCCTCCTGACTCCGCTGGCTCGGAATGTCATATGCTCGCCAAAAAAGGCTTTCTCCATACGCCAATGAGGATGAAATCACGGAGGAACGAAGGGCTCGAGATCAGCGGCATCGCCGTCGCCTACGCCGCCGGCGACAGCTTCGTCGACTGTATCGTCGGTATCGACAACGCCAAAGAGCGTTCGCCCAGGCAGTTGAGGAACAGAGGCGGAGCGAGCAGGAGACTCTGGGTAAAGATCCAATAACCAATCTTGTGTCCGCATTTCTTCCATATCTGCCTCCCGGTTCTATCGAAACACCGACTTGGATCGGGATATCCTCTTCGACCAGCACCTTTTCACCCACGACGACCTATACCAGACCTCAGTCCTTAATAACGGAGACGAGGTCAAAGTTTACTTATTCCACAGGTAAAAGAAACTCCAGAAAGAAACGCAGAAATCTGGTCGGGGGTCCTAACGATCCCCAAGACACTAGTGAATCCACCACGAGGCCAATTACGACTATACCTACCACGACTTCTTGGTCGTCTTCTACTACTACTACTTCATCTTCTATTTCGTCCAATCCATCATCATCATCAACAACTTCAACGTCATCCAGTGTAGCGACGACGGCTTCCACATCTTCAGGGGCTCACACCACCACCAGCGCGGGTAGCGTTTCCCCTGGCCAAGGGTCGAATTCCGACGTTGATGGCGGATCTCAAGGCTCGGGGGGCAAGCCGTCACCCGGAATAATCGTCGGGAGTGTGGTTGGCAGCGTGCTCGGAGCAGCAATACTCGTGGCGCTTCTTATATGGCTCTGCAAAACTCGCACAAAGAAGGACAAGGCGGGCAAGAAACGAGACTCCAATTCTAAGCCAAATGAGAAGGACTGGAGACCCCAGGATAGCTTTGCGCCATCACCCAAAACAAGCAGGGTCAATCTACCAAATCACAGCCAGACGAGAAATTCGAGGCGATGGGGATATACACCACGCCCTGGTGTCCGGGGATATACACCTCGTATCGACAGTCGAAACAGTGGCGGCAATTCCCTAAGACCTTCATTCATGGAGCAAATACAGAACCGTGGACGCAGCCCGTTGGGTTACGCCCCCGTCATCCAAGCGCCGGAGGATGCAGGCAGCATCCATAGTTCATCAGATTCTGGAGAAGTCTATCACACAACCGATTGGGTTATGGGCGCGCAGAAGGATCGTGACTCTGACGCAGACTCGAACACTCTCGGATTAGGTCTACACAGGAGCTCAGAAAGCACCTCTTCGTCCTTGTCATCGGATTCATCCTTCCCAGTACAGGGGCGGTCCCTTACCAGCACCCTGAAACCTCTACCTCCTATTCCTCCCCCGATTCTCCCCCCCATCCCAATCTCCCCTCCGATTCCGACACCAATCGTCCCACTAAAGAGCCCGCGACGGCTAGGGAAGATGCCCGCCGGAATCTCATCCAGCAGTAACCCAAATCGTCACGGGTTCCTCAGTCCACGAACAGGACCACTCCGAAGTGAGTACCAATCGGATAAATACGACTTGGACGCTGCGCGATGGAGGGAGGAAAGAAATCAGCCGTACGGTGGCCAGGACGACCTTGTCAGCAGAATCAGCTCTGAAGGTTCCGGCCACTCCATTAAGTCGCCGATGACTGTGAGCAGTATTGGCGATTGGGACCTTGGGACTGGACCTCCAGCCGGAATGTCCTACTCTTACTGGGGCCAACAAAACACCCCTCGTCGATAAACATCAAACCCTTTGTTACCGGAAGCTATCAAAGTCTGTCCTTTAGCGTGTATATCTTCTTCACTTCTTTTTTCTCTTCTTTAATTTTTCTTCTACTACTACTATTAGTTATATACTTATATAACAATGACACAATATATACCTCGAGGGCCAAAATCATAAACAGCTATCAGAATTAAAGCATATGAGATCCGTGTACAAGACTGTCGAGGTTGTAGAGTAGGGGACGCTAAGGTAATTCGAATTATCTAACGCGAGCTATCCAAGCAAGCCCAATACATCAGGACCCTCGACGGCCAAATTCATGAACAGCTATCAGAACTGAAGCACCCGAGATCTATGCACAAAACTGTCGAGGCGGTAGATGAGGGGTGCCGAAACACTAATAGACTCCGCCATTGGAGGTCAAGAGGGAGCGGAGGCCGCGAGGGCCGACATAAAGCACCGCCTAAGGACGGAGAGTTTACTTTCGCCCGAAAAAGGCGTGGCAGGCACGAGTACAGATTCTGGCCTGCACTTCACTACGATTAGTTAAGAAACTACGGAAACCCACTACCTAGTGAGAGCGTATGGGGTGACCCTTAGATAGACGGGCCCGCGTGCTGCCGGCGATGTAAGTTAGGTTGGCGGCCCAGTCCATTTGAAAAATCAATGAATTGTTACCTTTGATATTACTTTCTTCTTGAAATCGTGATCTTTGATTCATCATTCAACGGCCAATTCGGCTCGTATGAAGACCAGGATGGTCTCATTCAATTGATCAAATGCGGGAGGTCCCAACCAAGCACCAAACACACACCAATTATTTGTGGTTGTTGGGTTTGACTACGCAGCCTGGTTGCAATTCCCCTTGTTGACTGACGAACATTGCGACCACCGATCTCTCGTAGGCACGGGTTGCGGTGTTGTTGGTCGGAAAACCCCACCGGCACTCACCAGTAGGCGGTTGGGGGTTTCATAGCATCGTCTTGCGGCTAAGTATGCTGGCAGCCGAGGTAGCTATCAAAAGGGTTGCTCCCTCCACATAATCTAGCTATCTTTCCTATCCTTCTTTTAAACATCATTTTCATTTAAACATAGCCTTCACCCTCTAAGATAATGCTTTAATTCTGCTAGCAGCCTTACTTTAATGCCTAATTAAAGATATTTGAACCTGCAAGATATGGCAGGCCACAGCGTTCACTTGCTCGGATCCCCAAATACACCTAGGTATGCTCCGAAACCCCCCTAGCGCGGGTATGTATTTTATGGGGCTCGTTTTGCCCGAATATAACGAGATTATTATATGGTACTCATAAACCTGAGGAACACTATAAATAATTCGACAGGAGCCATTAAACCAATTTTCTCCCCCAGCCCACGACACCTCCAAACCCCTATCCACCATGATGTATCGCAGTCTCGCCACGGCGGCGCGCATGGTACCTACTATGCGCGCCCAGGCCGTTCGATTGCCTAGGCAAACGCCTCTCTTCATGATGCAGGCTATCCGCACCTACGCCGACAAGGTTGTCCAGGTTCCCCAGATGGCCGAATCCATCTCCGAGGGCACCTTGAAGCAGTTCAGCAAGGCCATTGGCGACTTCGTAGAACAAGACGAAGAGATCGCCACCATCGAGACCGACAAGGTGGGCTACCTGGCCTCCAATGGTCGTTTGACTTTTCCCAACATAGCAGCCACTGACACACCCCCTTTAGATCGATGTCGCCGTCAACGCCCCCGAAGCTGGTGTTATCAAGGAGTTCCTTGTCGCCGAAGAGGACACCGTCACAGTTGGCCAAGATATCATCCGTATCGAGCTCGGCGGCGCCCCTGCCGAGAAGCCAGCCGAGAAGGAGGCTGAAGCCCCCAAGGAAGCCGCCGCTGAGTCCACACCCGCGCCCAAGGAGGAGTCCAAGCCTGCGCCCAAGGAAGAGCCCAAGCCCGCCCCTAAGCAAGAATCCAAGCCCGCCCCCACGAAATCTCAGCCCGAGGAGCCTACACCTACGCCCGGAGCTCGCGAGGAGCGTCGCGTTCGTCCCCCCCCCCTCACTCCTACGGCCACAGACGACGTATTAACCACTTCTATAGGTCAAGATGAACCGCATGCGTCTCCGTATTGCCGAGCGACTCAAGCAGTCCCAGAACACCGCCGCTTCGTTGACCACCTTCAACGAGGTTGACATGTCCAACGTCATGGAATTCCGAAAGCTCTATAAGGATGATGTTCTGAAGAAGACAGGTGTCAAGCTGGGTTTCATGAGCGCCTTCTCCAAGGCTGCTGTCTTGGCTATGCGTGACATCGCAGGCGTCAATGCCTCCATTGAGGGCCCCAACGGAGGTGACACTATTGTCTACCGCGACTACGTTGACATCAGTGTTGCCGTCGCAACTGAGAAGGGTCTTGTTACGCCAGTTGTTCGCAATGCTGAGACACTGGATCTTGTTGGCATTGAGAAGACGATCGCAGATCTTGGCAAGAAGGTGTGTTTCTCAGATCGGATTTAAGTTTGGCTTGCGTCTCAGCTAACCTAAACTTTCTACAGGCTCGTGATGGTAAGCTTACCATTGAGGACATGGCTGGTGGTACTTTCACCATCAGCAACGGCGGTGTCTTCGGCTCCATGATGGGTACTCCCATCATCAACATGCCTCAAAGCGCAGTCCTCGGTCTCCACGCTATCAAGGAGCGCCCCGTTGCTGTCAATGGCAAGGTCGAAATTAGACCCATGATGTACCTTGCCCTGACCTATGACCACCGTCTCCTCGATGGCAGAGAGGCTGTGCAATTCCTCGTCAAGATCAAGGAATATATTGAGGATCCCCGGAGGATGCTTCTATAAATAGGGCAAGCGCTCGGGTGTATATTACCTACCTAGGGGCCACTGTTTCTAGGCAGCAAGTTAGCTAGCCAAATGGATGTATCACATAAACAGTGTGTAGTGTTAGATTCAAAAGAATACAGCTAATAATAAGTGCTTATTGAGGTTAATGATGTGTATGTATTTAATCTTGTTGGGTTCCTGTTGTGTTGGACTTGCTTGCGCGAGATCTGATGATAAGCGCAGGCTTGGTAGGATATTCGAGACCTGGTTTGTGTGTGATAATGAAGGCGGCGATGTGCGAGATAGACGACATGTCGGAGTGGAATTGACAGGTGCGGTTCAGTCAGGCCGGGGATGGCGGCTTTCAAATCGAAGGAAAGCAGGAGTCATCATGCTGGGCACAAGCTACCGTATTGTTGGTGCTGAACATTATGTACGGCTGAGTGTAAGCCTTGTGGCCGGGCAAAAAGCCTGGAGTTTAGTGTTGTGGTGTTAGTTATTGCGTCAAGTCGATTTCTTGGTGTTCAGGTACTTGTCCCCTTTTCTTTTAGCAGCTGCCGCTAAACTGCACAGCTCTCTCGCTTGATGCTAATGTTTTGGACTTGCTCGGATAGCTTGTGTTGAATAATTCGCGTTGTCTCAGCATCGTCAGTCTACTCGTCACAAAGTTCTCAGGTCCCAGCACAATAAAGCAACAAGGTTGAGCAAGCACATGAACGTGAGCAAGATGAATTATAAAGTCGTTAAGCCGCTGAAATGGAACGAGCTTGGGCTGTTATGAATGCAGACATCAGAGCAAGAAAAGGAGGTTGGTGAATGAAACGCCAACATTAGCACCAGTATCAATACTAGCAGAGGGAGGAGAAGCGGGAAGGGGGGGCAAGAGCAGGAGCAGGAGCACCAAGATATCCTAGAGAAGTGAAGAATTCAACAGTCACCATAGCGAGGTAAGGTATCGACGTTCCCCCTTTTCCGGTAAACAAGCGACATGATATCTCGACCAGGCAATACGACTAAGAATAAGTTCACTGATTCGAACTTGTGCGGAGACCAATTACATTGCTGATATAATCTACAACAGGCTTTCCAGGACTTGGCCAAAAGCAATAATCTTTATCGCAAAGATTGAGCCACCTGGTGTTTAGGTACATTTGGGATTTTGCCATTGAACTACTGCGTCTGGCTAGTCAATGTTGAGCCGCTCCTTGTAGGTGATTCGGGAAGCACAACCATCCATTCGACCTTATTGAGTCTCGCGAGAGGGAACCTACAGCACGAGCAGAAGTGATGATTGGCTCACGGCCACTGTCAGAAAGGGACCAAACTCGCTTCGCGGAACGAGGTACGTACTACGTAGTCCGTACCTTGGCGCAAAAGAGGAAAAGCGCGTGACATCATGGGTCTCGCGAAGCGCCCCACCCCTGATTTTCATGCGATCTGCGCCTATGATTGGCTCAATGGGCATTTTGGCGCGAAAAAATTCATCCCTGCAGGCACGCGAGAAAACGCGTAATTAAAGAACCGAAGACGCGACTGGTCGCGACGACCGGGAACGACCAGCTGAGATGGCACTAGGCAAGAGGAGACTGGGAATGAAAAAAATCCTATGAAATTTTGCCCCAATGCTCTAGGAGCTAGTACTGTCTATACACCCGTCTATGGACGGCAGCGGAAGCGAAAGAGTATGTTTGCTTCGACCAATTCTTCATCAAGGCCATTGTAAGGCCAGTCAATTAACTACCTCTAAAAGACTCCCATGAATCCCAATTCCATCCATACCAGGGAGTTGAGTCCCTCCCTCGGTGTATCTGTTGTCCCTAATTCCACAATTAGACCTTTCAACGCCCAAATATATACATAGGAAGGCTTCGTAAAAAGCTCGTAGTCTTGACCACGGTCGAGATAAAATAAAACAAACATAAAGGAAAGCGCCAGCCGTAGTGCCACAATTTACGTGCACATCGTAAAGTCAAGTACAAAGAAGAGGTATGCTAATGCAAAGGAAAATGGATCTGTGTCGTCAGATGAGGGCATACATCTTGTTAAACAAGAGGTTCATCGTATGTAAGTCGTTTGCGGGTAATGCTTAGGGGGGTGCGGGCAGCAGAGAGGGGGACAGGTGTTTTCCATGGTTTCTGGGCAGGGCTGGGTGTGATATTGACAAAGTCAGAGAAGTCAAAATGTTGGCTAGGTGTGTTGGGGAAGAGGTTGCCACCTCCTGGGGTTGTCATCATTGAAGATGGAAGATCAAGCTTGCTTGAGGCTCGTTGAGGGGGGGTTGAGGGGGGCTCCATCTCGGTGCGCCGAGGTTTCACGGCAGGGGAAGGAGAGGCGGCGAGGTACAGTAGCAGGTCGGCTCCCTCCTCACCAGACTTGCCGCCTTGAGATGTGTTCTTGCTCTCCTTATTTTTTCGACCGATGCTGCGGGTTTGCATTGGGGGTGTTCGGGGCGGGGACGATCGCACAGCATTGACATCGAATGAATGAGCCGGCAAGAGGTCATCGTCGTCCTCAGATGCTGAGGCAAAGTGGGGTGAGTTGAGGTTCTGAAAGAAGGAAACGTCTGGGCCAGTTGAAGTGGTAAAGTGCTGTTGCCGGCGGGGCTTGATGGGGGAGGATTGCGCAAGCTGATGACTGTCCTTCCAGGTGGAGTGGTTCGCAAACGATCTATGAGCTGTTGGCGAGACTCGATAGCGCTTGCTCGGGCTGGATGCGATCGCCGACTGGAAGTTATCGAAGGAAGACATGTGGTATGTCCGCTTGCGATGTCCAGTGCTTCCGTTGCTTGAACCGATGGCATCGGAGAATAACGGCGCTTTGAGGGGGGAGCTCATGAGGGCCTTGGTGGGATATGGGAGGTCGGATACACTCGATGAAGAGTCAGAGTTATCGGCCTCGATCGCACGGCGCCGCCGGATTTCCTCCTCAACCTTGGGTTCGATCGAGTCCAGTGTGAGCTCCTCCCAGCCATGCTTTGCCTTGAACTGGGCGAGAGCAAGCCGGTTCTGGAGGTTTCGAGCGATCTGCGTATATAGTGGTCAATATCTCCCTTATGAGGCCAAGTAGTGGGTTTCCTGGGCATACAAACCTTGCTCACTTCTGCTCTCTTCAGCACGCAATCAACCACATCCTCAGGCTGCTTCTTCCAGGGAGAAACCATCGCTCTGGTACGACTATAGATGGCCTTCTGTCGGTCAGTATATGCGAATGGTAGCAAGACTCTCTCGTATGTGTCAGGTCCTCTTCGGATTTTGTAGTTTCGGCCTCCTGAGGGGATTCTGGTCTGAGGTTCTGGTTGCGCAGAGACGGTGACGAGTGGGTAATGTGAGAAAGCAGGACGGGGGGATTGGAGGGAGCCCTGTCGCAAGTGAGTCTAGCGGCTATTACTGGGGGCAACAGAGTGCGTGCAGTGGCCACCCTAAATGATTGACAGGGGACCGGACACTAACTGAGCACAAAGAGGCTTACTGGAGGGAGGGAGGGTTATTGGCCAAGGGGGATGAATGCTAATGAATACGCTCCGCTTCACTGCATGTATCAGAATCGTGCAAACATGAAGGATTCTTCGAACAGCGCCTACCAGTCGACAGATGCGCTTCGCTTGTTGGTGTATAACGAGCAAGATTACGGATACCAACAATCTTCTGCTGTTTTCCTTTTTTTTTCTCTTGTCTTTTTTGTTTTCTTTTGAGTTATTTGTGGTCTTTATCTCTCATTTGCCAAACGCCACAATTCGTCACATTCCAGCTACCGGCAATTGTTTGTGCTTGGAGAGCTGAGCTCAAGCCATTCATTCATTCATGCATGCACGGTCTTGATTGGTGGGGGCAGTGGACAATCCAACCCATTTTCCTTATCCGGTACTTCCCAGATAAACAGCACCGTTAGTTAGCCTTCATCAACCCCAAGCTGAGCGTCGAACCAGTGTTTGTCATGACCATGCTGTGGCCGTATGCGAAATGTCTCGGGTTTCCCCCCTGGCTGAAATTAGATATGAAAAAATCTGATTGTATACCAAGTTTACTGCATCACCAAGCAACCTAGCCAGCATCAGTGATCAAATTAGAACACACACACTTTGAAATGAGGCCTGTTCTTATACGGTCCAGGGTAGGGGACGAGCTGCTTGGCTAAGAAGTCGGTCTTCAAATAGACTAATAGCACTTTATTTAATTGTTTAATTCTACAGTTTGTTTCGGAGGCACCTTTGGTCTACGGGATGGGGATAGAGGCATGTTTCCGTATTTGATGTGCCTGTCCTCCTGCAATTTGTGATTGGTGTCTATATATAAGAACTGCCAACATAGTCAGGCCAATGAGGCCAAATGACTTATTCGTTCTAAGAAGCGAAAATAAAATCTGCCTGCCATTCACTCACTAGAGCATTGTCCGTCAATACCTGCCATTGAACACGAAAATTAGCAGAGAAACGCTACAATATTGCTTCCGGTGAAAAAGAGATCTCGACGCTTGAAAGGAGGGGTACAGGGTAGGCAGTTAGTCCGGGCAAGTTGTGGCCAACCAGAATTGAGGTGTTTCCGCATTACGATCGGTATTTTCTCGGCACTAGGCTACAAGGCAGCAAATAGCACCTCAACACACTCCTCTACACAACGAATGCCAATTATCCCGACGTTGGAAGCCCAGGTCGACACCGGTGGATCAGGAAACGCCGACAGCACAGCAAGTAAAAACTCCGCCGAGATGCGCATCGTCGAGCCATTGACTGACTTTCTCCGCCAGAGAACAAATACTGCCTCATCTGCGCGAGTTGAGACGCCATAGCTCGAGCTGTTTTCCTCCCAGTACAGTGTAGCCGAACCCGTCGAGGACATCACCAGTACGCCAGAAGCCACCTTCATGTCTCAATTGCCATGGAAGATTGTTACCATCGATTCCAAGTTCGACCGCTTACCCAATTGGACACAGGAACCCAGCCTATTTGCCGACGCCCACAATGTCGACGACGCGACGAGCCGCATTGTCAGTACCCATATGCACCCGACCCTGCCGCCCACTCGAGGGAAACTGTATGGCTAACTCTTGCCCCGGAATAGATCGCTGTACCGCCGCTCACTGAAGCTGGCTCTGGACTGGGCAGTTCACCGCCACCTCTGGCGTGGCCAGGCTCTCTACATCCGATCTTTATTCGAAGCCAACCGCAATGTTACAGACCCAAAGACGCAAAGAGTGAGCATCAACCGACGACAAAGGGTTTACAATTTGGAAATATTGGACACCGACTAATTGGCGGAACCAGGCACTCCTATCAGAGACAGAGAAACTGCTTGAGAGCTGGAAGCATCCTGATCCATATGTCCATCCCACAGCACCCGGAGGTATGGGATTATGCTTCTTGTTTCTGTGCGACATATTTCTAACAGTTCGTGTAGGTTCCAAATACGAGCGAAACTTACCCTCTCCGGTTCTCACACGTAAGTAAAAGCAAACCTAGCAACACGCTTTGGGCTCAAGTTCTCATGTCCTCTTTAGCACCACCCAACCACCACGTTTGAAGCCGGAGGAGTTGAATGGGGAAAACCTAGGCAAATATGTATATTTTAGACGTCGGGTACAATTAGCATTACCGGAATGCAGTTTTCATTTTCCCGTAGGGGATGTTCTACACAACTATATGACAACCCAACAAGGAACGAACTACTTGTGAAAGATAGTAGAGAGTTTGACCTATGCATGCACCCCGCAAAATCCCTCTGATTCCTATGACTGAACCCAGTCTGAACAACCATATAATAATGTCTGCGTCTTAGAGATGCTCCAGACCATCTATTCGTGCCGTTACAGGAGGTTAAGCAGGCGCAACGTGCGACAACAGATTTTGATAAAAATGCAACTCCTCGCGATGATCATCACAGACAACAGAAACCCACATTGCCATTCACGACACGTATCGCAAACCAAAGGGTCGGCTCAACTGATAAATTGCGTTGCCTCGCAAGTAACAAACGCCACCGCCGCGATGCCGTTCGCGCCAGATAAACAACTCACCAATGCCTTGTAAGACAAGAAAACCAAATTGCGCACACTCGACTCAACAAGCGAGAAGTCATTGCAAATATGCGATTTTGTTGAGACCAAAATGTATTGCGCAGAGGATAGACAAGCCCAATGACACAGTTGAGATGAGAGTCACGAAAACCAAGAACGAATTTGATCATCTTGAAATGGTATTCTTATTCGTGACCATAGCCGAGGCGATTATAGTACAACCCAAACGCGTAAAGTAAGCAACCGTTAACCCTAAACCGAGACCCCAAATGTCATGACACCCAAACCAACTATCGCGAGAAAGCAAAACCCAATAGAAGCTCTTACAGCTCCTGGCTGGGTCCCTTTCCACCCTTGCCGGTAGACTTCTTGGGCAGGAGGTCTAAATCAAACGCGTTAGTATTTGAAGTATGATTCGAATGAGATGGGAAAATAACTCACTTGTGTGGATGTTGGGGAGGACACCACCCTGGGCGATGGTGACGTGGCCCAGAAGCTTGTTCAACTCCTCATCGTTTCGGATGGCGAGCTGGAGATGACGGGGAATGATACGGGTCTTCTTGTTGTCACGGGCAGCGTTACCGGCCAACTCGAGGATTTCAGCAGCGAGGTACTCGAGAACGGCAGCGAGGTAGACGGGAGCACCGGCACCGACACGCTGGGCATAGTTGCCCTTGCGCAGAAGACGGTGGACACGACCAACGGGGAACGCGAGACCGGCCTTGGAGGAACGGCTATTGAATGTTAGTCAAAGATCATGGAATAAAAAACCGATGGATGAACGCGTCACTTTGAGTGATTTGGGACGCGACTTCAGTTCGAAATGGATAAGACTTACGATTGAGCGTTCTTGGAGCCAGAGGCCTTGCCACCAGACTTGCCGCCGCCAGTCATTTTGATTGATTTGTTTGGGGTTGGGAAAAAACTTGAAAAAGTTGGAAAGTTGGGGTGAGTCGGAGTCGAGAAGGCGACTTGGAGCAGTAAGTAGACAGGTTGAGTTGGATGACAATTGAGAGTGAAAGGGAGCAGGCGATGAGGTTGGCGGGGCCCTGAGGTTAAGTACTTTTCGGCGCGCGCAAGCTGTCATCGCGGATCACCCATCCATCCCTCACCACTGGCGTTATTCCGCGCTAACCCCAACTCGGAAATTGGGCGCGCCGGATTTTAGGAGCAGCAGCAATAAAAAAAACAAATCAAATCAGCCAATCCGTAGCAGCCTTGCACCCACCTTACCAATTGCGCCCCTGTATTTTATTCTGCTCTGCCTCTGCCACGAAAGAAAGAGCACGCAGCGCTCGATCTCTCTTTCTGATCTCCCTTGCTGTGGGGTTCGTGCACGGAACTGCGCATCTCTGTCGCCATCACGGAATCAAGATCGCACGCGTTTTCTTTCCCTCATGATTCATTGGTTCTTCCACTTCTCGTGATTTTGAAGCACGTTTGTTCATTTTCCTTTTTTGGTTTGAAGCAATGTCTCTCTACTCATCTTCTTGTCTTCTTGTTCCCTCGTGATTGCATCTCATGGCCCGTGTTCTTCGGGTCCCTCCTTAATTGTGCAATGCTTATTGCGTGCTGTGCTTGTAGTATGCGTGATAAGCTTCCTACGTGTTGCATTCGATCATAGGCGAGACTTCGTAGGGAGATGCAATCTCCGGGCCCTGAACAGCACGCTGCGCACACCACTTTGTGTCAGCTAGTCTCTTGTGTGTGCATAACAACTGCCGGGAAGCTTATGTATGAAGCAACGCTCCATATCTCTTTTCCAGGCAAGGTTGGACCAGTAACCAGTACCATGTCGTATGCAGATTTGAGTGGATGCTCTGGATCTTGTTCCCCAAGCTTTGAACGGTTGCCTCCATCTACGTCACTGTATTAGGTGGAGCTAGCTCGAACACCTGAGAGCAATTAGGTTCGTCGCTATGCTTCTTGCCAGTGTTAATTATTTTGCCAGCGCGGATGTGGCGGGCGTAGTTGGTTAGTGTGCATATGTTTTCTATTCTCCTCTTGTTGTTCAACTTGTCCATGTACTTCTACTTCTTTGTTTGGTCCTCGGTGCGTTAAAAATATACGAGCTGTAGGTAAGCATCACTGCATTACATGTCCCAACAGTAACTACGTATTTCAAAATACCAACAAAAATATTTGCGGATTGGAGACCAAAAGACAGAGCGAGACCAGATAGACATGTATGAACTGACAACTACTGTTACATTTCCATTCACCTAGCCGTGCACAAGGAATATCGCGATGCCCTCAGGGAAAACACAAGGGTTGTAGGGTAGTGGGTTTGGGTGAAGGCAAATGTTGATTTACCTGACCAATCAAAAAAAGAGTTCAGGCTAGTCGTAGAGTATTTCAAAAAGCAGAAGTTGGCCTAATTGGGAGCAGTGGCTCGTGCGCCAGTTTGCTTACCAGCCAAGATCAGTCAACTTATCATCCTGAACGCGCCGGCCCAATCGCGTGCAGGCCCACAGCAGCACCCGGTGGGCCCGCCCAACCAGCCGCCTAGCCAACCACACGCTCCCCCAGTGCGCTTGCCTGCACCAGCCATCAGCGCATTGCCGCCTCCACAGCGAGTTGGTTTCGCGGCGCGCAGGGAGGAAATCAGTAACCCTCTGTTGCGGCAACGCGTCCAGCTACAAATACCCAAGCCCACCCCCAAAGCTCTTCCCTCCTTCGTCATCCACTTTCCATCAACAAACGCTGTTAACACGCACTTCACTCACAGACTCCAGTCAACTTCACGCAGTTTTTCCTGAAATCAATTTTCAATTTTCAAATCAGCCAAAATGCCTCCCAAAGCTGCTGCCGACAAGCGTCCCGCCAACAAGGCTCCCGTCGCCTCCAAGGCTCCTGAGAAGAAGGATGCCGGAAAGAAGACTGCCGCCTCTGGTGACAAGAAGAAGCGCACCAAGACCCGCAAGGAGACCTACAGCTCCTACATCTACAAGGGTAAGTTTGGAGTCACTTGAACCTGATTTGAAAACCACATTCTAATTCGAGTCAATCAGTCCTCAAGCAGGTTCACCCCGACACTGGTATCTCCAACCGTGCCATGTCCATCCTGAACTCCTTTGTCAATGGTGAGTCATATTTCACTTTTCGAATCCATACATTCTTGACGCGTCAACGTATCTAACACTGCAATCAGATATCTTCGAGCGCGTTGCTACTGAGGCTTCCAAGCTTGCCGCCTACAACAAGAAGTCTACCATTTCCTCCCGCGAAATCCAGACCTCTGTCCGCCTGATCCTTCCTGGTGAACTTGCCAAGCACGCCGTCTCTGAGGGTACTAAGGCTGTCACCAAGTACTCATCCTCCACGAAATAAGCTGGCCAACAGTGCCCAGTGCTGGGTATCTGAGTCTTTTAATCGCGCGGCATCGGGGTTTCATGAGCTGTTCCCCGCTGGTAGCAAGGGAGACCTTGCTCGATTGGGATCTTTATTAATGCGTTACGGATGGTCTTGCTTTTGGGGTCAATGTTTTCAAACGGGCAATTGGGGTTCGCGGTTGTACACTACATTCGAGGTTTGGGACTCGAAAATCAATGAGAATTATCGCACATGATATCCTGAACCACTAACAACTTTTCACTTTCGCAATCCGTGACATTTCTTATTGAATTACATGGCCACATACTGAACACATATTCTGGCCTGTTCTAACTAGGGAGACCAGCAAACACTGATGCACAACATATCGTCCGCGACCCGCATGCCGCATTAGCCAAGACCTGCTTTGCCCTTTTTCATCGTTTGCGCAACGGGTTGCAGAATACCCTTGTTGTGCATGGCACCCAGCGCGGTTCCACTGCTCCAGCCCATTTTCTCCAGCATGGCGCGGCCACGATTTTCGCTGCCCAATTCTGGAGCGGCGGCACCGACAATTTCGCCCTCGTGGTAGCTCGCGGCGGCGTGGCCAGATCTATCGGCTTGAGTCCGCGGCGCTCTTTTACCTTTGGTGTCAAGTCGTGGGAAATACTTGCGGTGTATTCTTCCGACGGCCTGGTTGAACTTTGGCTCTGTGAACTGCAGTGTCCTGTTGTTTCTATACAACGTCGTTCGGCGTTGATCAGATTTACCAGTGGACTTGGATTTCACATTGAATTTGTTTGCAAGCTCATGGAGCACTTTGCGTCCGTGAGTGTCCATGGGAGGGAATGTGAGACTGGAAAGAGTTAGAAAGCGTCAGTTCTGAAAATATATATTGGCACCGAGAAACTGGGTAAGATGCGAGACAACTCACGTTGGTTCCGAATCGAGCAGAAACGCCTTCAGCTCCTCAGTGATCTGGTCAATATTCATGCCATCCGGGTACTTGACTCTCAAGTCCCCAGGAGAGGTTGTCTTTTTACCAAGCTGACCAAGTGCCCGCAACTCCTCACGTTGTTTCCTGCGTTCTGCCTTTCTAAGCCGATCGTTGTTCCAGGCCATTTGTAATCGTTGCTCCATCTCTGGGTCGGAACCAGTGTAGTTTATTCGACCGAGAGTGGATTTCTTCTTCCGTCTCTTGCTTTGTGCAAGTAAACTCGGGCGTTCCCAGTCCATGTATATATCAAGATCATCCGCGTCGGTAGTTCGGAAGTCGCCTGCATCGGATTCATCCGAATCACTGGAACTTGCAGAGCTTGCAACTATACCTTCAAGAGGATAGGTGGTCCGGCCTCGAGAAAGGAGTTTTGCAAGGGCTTCATCGTCAAGCTCGCTCTCCGAGGCATACTGGTCGGCTTTGGTACCTGAGCGTCCCCCCCCTGTGTCGTTTTCACGAGTCTGATCTTTACCAGAAGCCTGAGTATTCTCATTGTCTTCATTGTCAGTGGCGCTTGACATGACAGGGCTTGGTGAGCCTCCCAAATCTCGCCGGCTGAGAGGGGTTGGGAGTAGAATGTCAGGCATCTCCCCATTCTCTCGCATATTTGCGACATAGTCGGCTATCAACTCGTCCTCATCATTGTTCTCTCGATGACTCTGCGGCCTCTTATGGCGTCTCCTCTCACGGCTGGTTTTCTTAGGGGCCTCGGTGGGACCCTGACGTTGTGAGTTTGCTTCGAGTTGTTCCTCTACAACTCGTATTTCAGTCTGCATTTGTGTGACTGAAATCGTCGTTGGTTGTGGGGGCACCCGTGATTTGTCTCGGCCTTTGAAAAGTAGAATTTCATCTTCGCTGGAGGTGTCTTTGTCCAGCTCTGGATGTTCGGGTAGTACCAGAGGCAACCTGGGCTTAATGGATTTTTCAGTGTCGCCCTTTAAGTCGATGCAATAAGGAGCCGGTTCGGCCTCCACAGGTCCATCGGATTGAAGTCCTTGTTCTAATTCTTCAGGACCAATTATGCTATCAGCTGAACTTTCATCACCCAAAGACTTGTCTGGCTCATCGCGGGGCAATTCTGCTGGGGATACCGGGGCCGTTTTCGACTCATCCTTAAGTGCGGGATCGCTGACATGGACACTGGGGATTGTTGCATCCGGTAATTGCGGCGTGGTCTCCCCATGAAGAGATCGGACTAACTGGGCATCATCTGCTTTGACGATTTCTTCATCGAGCAGCTTTAGCGGCTCGCTTGTTCCAGCACTCACGAATTTCACTGGCCTGCTACGGAGGCTGGAACCCTGCTCCCAGAATGAATGATTTTGCCTGGAAGTTTGCCGTGCCTCTTCAGCAAGGCTCATATCTACCATAGCTCAGTATTTGGGGTACACTCGTGTAGGGTGCACATGGCTGCCAGCCCCTCGCTCTCTGACAAACAACTCAATTACTCACATGAACCGTTTGGTGGTGTGTTCGTGATCTGTGGTGCAAATCGACCACCCGCACGAATGCCAGCTCTTCCACCCCTCCCACCCCTCGGGGTTGAAGCACCTCCTCGCTTTTGTTTCTTTGCCATATTCTACTGTTGGTGGAATACAGTACAATCCATGTTGAGAGGTGGCTAAAGGCTAGGGAGGTAGTTGGTTTTTTTTAGGTATATCAAGTAACGAAATGCCAGAGGTTACGGCGATCGTATCCGATAGAACTGTCTAGGGTCAAAATGAAAAAATAAATTGGGATGGGAAATCGCAGACAGTGAGAGCGTCCAGAACAAAAGATTCGAGCCGCGAAGCTTGGTGGGTTCCTGAGCAGCGAGGATGAGTCTGGATGACTCTTCTCTTTGTGAGCTTGGGCAGGTACAAAGAAACCTTCAATGAATGCCGTCAGCAGTGCCTTCCTAAAAATGCGCTATCGATAATGCTGGCACGTTGATCCACCTTGTGTTACGAGCCAAAGTTGTGTTACAAGGAGAGAAGGTGGGATGCTCCATGTGCTGTCACTTTTGGAAGATATAGCCAATAAATACTCTACTGCCTCTTTGGGGGAAATGATTGATCGGCATGTAACATTGGATGTATATTCACGTCAATGTCTGTTTGGATCCGAATCTACTGCTTGCCTCATTTATGGTGTTAAGCGGTAGGTAACTTCCAAGGTACCAGGTTACCTAGTACCGCGGTATGCCTAACACGAGGAAGACAGAGCGATTGTTTCAGTGCTCCCTACCGAGTGGACGTCCACTGACTGGCCCTAGTGGACCCGTCATGCGGCCTCAGCGGCAAAGTTGACTTTGTACACATTGAAGTGCTACCTGGCCTGAGGGGATCCATCTCTAAGGCAGAAGTCAGCTGTAGCGGGGTCGAGGGCCCCACCTGGCCGCAGCTTCCAAGCGCTATTCATTCGGCCTGGTGGATGACTGATGATCAACTTACGTCGTCATTGCCTCGTGCTTGGGATTGTGACTCTCAGGTCATTAAGGCATATCGCTGTGCCTTCGTCTCTCTGCATCGCCAGGCCTTGGAAACCCGCTCGCTACCACTTTTCTAAAGGGGACTCCGCACCTGCTTGGAAATCGGCCATCGCCATTCAGCTTCCCCCCAGATACGTCTGTGCAGCGTGTGTCTCTAGGTGGAGCTGGGGTTATCAGTTTGTGATACTCTCAGCATACCTTCATCAAATACCCCACGCTGTCGAAGCCGGACCATCTGGTATTGGTGTCCAGGAACATTCTTGACACGTCTGGCCTTATTGCACACACCGCTTCTATATGTGACCATCGGCCGCGTCTGGTCTCCGTCCCCGCCTATTCAACGGCGGATCGTTCTGGCTCTCACCTCCATCTGTGAGGTGTCCTGGTTTCTATATCTCCACAAACGCATCCCAAATCTTGGGTTGTTTATACGCCTTGCGCCTTGACAGAAGTTCATTATGGAGAGCAAGTTGGCCAACGTCGACCTGGGACCTTACCGTCGCATAGTACAGCTGTTTTGGGACCCCGAACCAGTTAACGATGCAATACTGGACCAGCCTATATGGTGTTTAGGCCGTTCATACCAGCTGTCAAGCCACATCAGCACCAAAACCATCCAGAAGGATACTGCTGCAACTGCTGAAGGCACTGTAGAGTCGCTGAAAGAGGACCAGGTCAAACCTGTCCCTGCACCAAACTCAGCCCTTGAGACACCACCAGACTCGACTTCCAGTAGCTTCTCATCCTCCCTCGCATATGATGAGTCGACTGACATTGGACACTGGCCCCAGGGATTTTTGGACGACTTCGAATCTAAGTTTTGGATGACATATAGGTTTGAATTTGAGCCTATCGCAAGATCCTCTGACCCGAAGGCACGGTCGTCTCTTTCACTTTCCATGCGTATTAAGAGCCAGCTAGGTGGAGAGCAAACTGGATTCTCGTCGGACAGCGGATGGGGATGTATGATTAGGTCTGGTCAGAGCCTTCTCGCCAATTCGATTGCTATCTTACGCCTGGGTCGAGGTACATATACTCCCTCTGCTCTCTTGTCTCCCTCGGGGGAGGAACTCTATGCTAACATCAGAATAGATTGGCGTCGTGGAAGTCTGAAGAAAGAAGAGCGGGAGCTCATTCGTAGCTTTTCTGATGACCCGAAGGCCCCATACTCGATCCATAACTTTGTCAAACACGGCGCAGAAGCTTGTGGAAAATACCCAGGAGAGTGGTTTGGACCATCCGCTACTGCTAGATGCATTCGGTAAGTGTTGGGCTTTGCACATCTTTGCTTTAGGGCTCAGTGGACACAGCTAACTGGCTTGTTGCAGCGCCCTGGCCAATGCTCATGAGCCATCTTTACGGGTTTATTCGACTGGAGAAGGGCCCGATGTCTACGAGGACAGTTTCATGAAGGTTGCCAAACCTGACGGGGAGGAGTTCCATCCGACGCTGATCCTGGTGGGAACTAGGCTGGGTATCGACAAGATCACGCCTGTTTATTGGGAGGCACTCATTGCGGCCCTGCAAATGCCACAGTCCGTTGGTATTGCTGGGTAGGTTGTCTCCGGGCCCCAAACGCTGTTAATATGCTCTAACAGTCACCGCAGTGGACGCCCTTCATCAGCTCACTATTTCGCTGGAGCTCAAGGTTCATTTCTTTTTTATCTAGATCCTCATCATACAAGGAGAGCTCTACCATATCACGAAAACCTAGCCGAATACACGGATGAGGAGATTGATTCCTGCCATACAAATCGACTCCGACGTATTCACGTTCGCGAAATGGATCCCAGCATGCTGGTTGGCTTCTTAATCCGCTCCGAAGACGACTGGAAGGACTGGAAGCGGTGCGTTAAACATGTCCAGGGCAAAGCGATCATTCACGTTGCAGACCACGACCCTACCCTGCCTGGGGGCTACGGACCCGAGGGCAGAGAAGGAGCAATTGATGAAGTTGAGCCTTTGAGCGATGACGAAGAAGAAGACGAAGATACGATCCTGGACAAATAGTTTAACTTTTTTTCCTCGACGATTATCATTATCTCGGCGATTATGGCGTTCCGGATTGAATCCCCCTTGGCGCTCTGGTAACTATTGATTTGTTTGAAATGTGATGGTGCACTCATTGGGCATTGCGAATATGCGCCATATTATTCGCGTTCCTTTAGCCTTAGTTGAATACACAAAGCGTTCTTTCTAATATTCACGATTGTGAGGGAAGCTGGGTGTCTATCGGTTCTTCTTCTTACCCTTAGTGCCTTTTGTATTACTTACCGGCACAGGCGTAGCATGACCCTCATCATTAATATGCTGAAACAACTTTGTCCGTGAAGAAAACGTCTCTGCGCACACACCGCACCGATTCTAGGAACTTGAGTCAGTACTGGCCTCTGAACTTCGTAGCGCGACGCAGGAACGGCGCTGGTACTTACTGTGTCGGTAGTTTGTGCTTCACGGGCCGCCTTCTTTTCTCTCTTCATTTTTGCCTTTCCTTTTTTCTTTTCCGGTGCGGCAGTTTCGTTGATGGAGGTTTCATCCAATACTGCAGCCAGCTCTTGGTCGTTTTCGTCCACAGTAACGTGTGAGCTCGAGTCGAACAATCGATCCTGGACAGCGCTGCGAGGCGCATAATCACCGTCGTCAGAACTGGGCGTGTCGGCGTCCTGCTCTGGGATCTGCGCTTCATTTTTCTTGATATTCTCCGCCGCCAGATCCTCTTGGGGTGTAATGCTTGGTGAGGAGGGACTTGGAGCCTGCGGCGCATCAACCTCAGAATCTGATTCCGAATCTACGTTGTTCTTTGACTTCGATTTCGACTTTGACTTCGCTTCCTCTGTTGTGTGTGATTTCGTCGTCGAGTCCAGCTCCAACTCAGCACCCTCCTTCCTCATCTGACGACGAAGTTGCTGCACAGCTTTGGTGTGCTTTTTACTTCTCTCGTGAGCCTCAAGCTGGTTCAGACTTTTGAACTCCTTGTTGCACACAACGCATTCCAGAACCTCGATTTCAGACTCCTCCTCCTCCTCCTCCTCCTCGGACTCCTCGAAATGGTTCTCCTCGACCTCGTTCTCCCGAGCCGTCACCCAGTCTGAAACTCCGGCCGAGGCGAGCTTTTCCTGGTTGGCTGCGCGCGAGCGAGCCGCCTGCGCCGCCGCCGCATCGCGCATGGCCTTTTGGCGCTCGGATTCCGTCTGGCTGTTGGGGAGGTATCGGGGGTCGCGTTTCCGTACAAAGGTGACGAGGAACCGAACGGCGTCGTTGAACTCGCGAGCGGCGTCTTCCCTCAGCTTCTTGTTCTCCTTCTCCATCAGGCGGCGGACGCGGCGGTCGGGTGCATCCGATAGTCGGTACTTGTCCTTCCACGAGAAGGATTTCCTGGTTGAGAAGTTGGCCCAGGAGCTGTAGAAGGTCCTGACCACCGTCTCGTAGTCGTCGTCGCTCTGGCCAAAGGTGGGATAGTCGGGGCAGTCAACATCGTCGAAGTCCGCGGCGGCCTGTTCCTCCAGGACCAGGTGTTCGAAGGTCTCTCGTGCGATGCCGTAGAAGCCCGTGGGTTCGTCGTTGAAGGGTATGGTGGTATTGAATCTTCGCATCAAGCTCAGGATCTCTTCGGTGGAGGTCAAGCGAACATTGCGGAACGTGGAAGGCTGGTCGCCGCCGCCGTCGCCGCCGTCCTCCCCGCGGAGGATGGCATCACGGTGGGAGTCGTACCATGCTCTCTCCTGGGGGTCGGAGAGAACCTCGTAGGCAGACTGGACTTCAGCGAATTTCTGGGTCGCGATGGCAACATTATCTAGATTACGGTCGGGGTGGAGTTCGAGCGCCTTTCTACGGTAGGCCTTTTTGATCCTCGTCAACGTTAACGCCCTGCTTCATAACTCTTGCCCAGCCGTTTGGGGGGGGCTGGCTTCATGCGCCGTGCTCACTCTTCATCGGTAGCATGTTTGTCGATTGCTAGCAGCTCGTAGTAGCATGTCTTTTGCGTGGGAGCTGCGGCGTCGGCGTGGCCATTACCCTGGCTGGATGATTGTTGCGCGCCCATTTAGATCGGATATGGATAGGGCGGCAGGGGTGACTAGATCGTGTATTGCGGTTTTAATTCCCATTCCAAATGCGAAAAGTTGCTCCGTCCTTATTTAACACGATGGGGTGTATCGCGAAATTGTCAAATGGTGGCCCAAATAATGCGCACACGCATGTACGCCGAATGACTGTGCAAAACGGTCATTGGTGGCACGAAGCCGCTATTTTCTGCCTTCCCTGGCTTCGCCGCTGGTTCTAGCTTTTGGGGGTGCCCCGCCTGCCCCTCATTGACTCATTCATGGTCATGTTCTCTCATACCCTAGACATGAAAATTTCTACATGCAGATGACATGAGGTAGCATGGGATTAGTCCCTTCATATGTGTTGTGTTGGGCACGTTGGAAATGCTGAGAGTTGATTTGGCATTCACATGACAGGGGAAAAGTCGGTTCCTCTCGGGGCTGTTCGCTTGGCTGTCTAGACCTTACTGCTGGGTATCCGAGTGGTGGATCAGATCAGCCACTGATCTGATCTATGTTATCGATATAGACAGCCAAAGACAGTACCGACTGCGGCATACAAAGGGCGGATTGGAATGTTCCATGGCCAGGAACATACCTAGGCCCGAGTCTGTCGAGGGTTCAGCGTCGGGACAGCCACGGCGCCTCGATTGGTCTAGAATGGCCCTGGTCGGTAGCACAATGTCGGGATGCAATTCGAAGCCAAGAGGTGGCCGAGATCTCACGAGAGCCGAAGAGTACCTAGATGATGACGATTAAAGACGGTTGAATGCAAAATTCTCGTTACACCTGCTCCGCGTGGCCTCCTTGTTGGGCAGTAGACGGCCAATCAAACAAGCTTGTCAAACCAGTTCGTCGAGCTAACCAGGCACATCATACTGGCATGACTTGGAAGTTCGGCACGGCGAGTACCCGCTACCTGGCCGGCCATGATCGCTGCAGTAGGAATGAGGTACTGGTACCGCAAGACTTGGCAGCCAGCCCTGGGCCCGTGCTTGTCCGTGTGTTCTCGATTTTCGCGTAGGCGCAAGCCGCACACCCTAGACTGTGTCTGTCTGCTCAACCAGGAAACTGATCACGCGCTTGCTCATTCAAGTATCAACAGGGTGTGCCAAGGGCTGGGGATGGTTTGCATGGCATCTGGTTTGTATATAGCCCCCCTCCATCCCTCCCCTCCTGCGCCATCGCCCGCCCTTCTAGTCGATTTTTGGATATTGATTTGGTTAAATGTCTTCGACGATACCCCTTTCTGTCGCTTGTCTATTCCTTTTCCCAAGTGGACTATGACTGCTTCGTGATTGTTCGCATTGTACACCCGTCAAGGTCGCTATTTAGCCTTGTTTTCACCCGTTTCCTCTAGACCGCCATCATGAAGTTCGGGCAGGATTTCAAAGAAACACTTGCCACTCAGGGTAGGTTAAAAAACCCCGGATTCTTGTCTCGTCAACCCCATGTACTAGCTGGAATGTCAATCCCTAATCACTCGATAATACAGACTTCCCGTCCCACTGGGTTGAGCATGCGATTCCCTACGGCCAGCTTAAGAAGTGTTTGAAGAAGGTGTTGAAAGAGCTCAAGGATTTGGGGTTGGATCACGACACGCTTCAGTCTCTCATCGACCCCGAGAATCACTCGCCCGTGGCTCTCAAGTATCGACTAATTGGTACATTCTTACCTTGCGCTTTCTACTCAAGCGACTGCACTTGCTAATCGTCCTCGTAGCCTCCGAGAATTCTGACATCGTCAAACCAACGCTCACAGTCGACGTTTACCTCGAAGACGATGTTATTGTCGAAGCCTCCCTGACCCCGGCCTCCCGTCTATTTTTTGAGAAGATTGCTTCGGAAGTGCGACACGGCCATCAAGCGGACTCTGGCAGTACCTCTGGCAACTCATCCGACGCAGGGCAAGATGACGACGTCTCCGTCCAAGACCAGAGTTCAGAACCTCAGCACAGGAAGAACCGCAGGCATGAAACCATCGAACTGCCTCTCGTCTTCGACCACGAGTTCTTCCAGTTGCTCCAGAACGACGTCAGCAGCATCGACTCCCTCCAGGACACCGAGCGACAGCAAATGAGCGACGAGATCAGGGCTCTCGGCGAGGACCTAGCGCAAATCACAAAGCCTCGCAAGGTGCACAGGACGGATATGATCCCCTGGCGGAACATCTTCGAGCTGTACCTCGATGCTGAGGTGTTTTTCGCGACCCACGAGCAGGAGCACGGCGCCCGATCCAGCCAGCTTGCGCTGAAGAAGCTGCAGTGGTTCCAGGGCGAGGTCAAGAAGCGGGAACTGCAGAGGATCTTCAAGATCCCCCAGAGCCAGGTGGCTTACGACCGGTTCCTGCGAATCAACGCCAACCTGCTCAAGATGCTCCAATTCCAGGAGATCAACCAGCTTGCTGTCCACAAAATCCTGAAGAGTGAGTAGTAGCTGGAATGAAGGTAGAGCGACAAAGAAACCAACCAATGCTAACTGCGCCAACCTTACCGGGTAGAGTTTGACAAGCGAACGTCCTTTGGCATTTCCAAATCATTCCGTTCCGCAATCCAGTCCCACCAGTTCATGACTGGCGCCATCGGCAGGGACGTCTGCGCCCAGATGTCCCAGCACCTCACCAACGTGGTGCCCCAGCTGAACGACTACCTGTGCCCGATTTGTTTCATGGTGGCATACCGCCCCGTCAAGCTCGAGTGCAGCCACATCTTCTGCCTTCGCTGCATAATCAAGATACAACGCAGCCGCGAGTCGCACTGCCCGCTCTGTAGATCCGACGTTGTGATGAAGGCCACGATCAGTAAGTTCGCTTGACCCTGGACCAATGGTCCGAGCACGTGGGAGCCGTCATGGCAGCTAACCGCGTGGGGAAACTAGTGAACCTGGACGACGATCTGGCAAAGTACATGAAGAAACACTTTCCCACAGAAGTTTCGGACAAGGAGCGCCACAACCAAATCGAGCGTGGGCTGGAAGACTACGGCCCGGGATATAAACATCAAGAGTGCAGCGTAATGTGATTGATGAACTGCTATGCTAGCGCTTTCGCAACTATGAACGTCATTTGGAAGGGAAATACTCTCATTGGATAATTATTCATTGTTCATTGATAGAGTCCCGCTTTGAACGCGGCCCTCACAACAACTATATACAACCACCTTTTACATCAGGATGGGGGGGGGATGTGATGAGGGTGCTCCAAGCGTCGCTTTAAGATTGCTATTTCGCACGTGGGCTCCCTTCCCCTGCGACCCTCCCTCGCCTCCACGACCTCCTCCGCCAACTCGGCCAGTCCGAGATGAGCTGCATCATTCTAGCTCAAGGGGGGGGCGGGCAAGGCTAATCAATCATTGCGCCGGCACGTCAGATCCGGTCCCCGTCGAGGCCTTCTCCGCTGCTGCAAGGGCCTTGCGGAACCGTTCCTCCAGATCAGAGGTCTCCTCCAGGCCAACGCTCAGTCGGACGAGATCGGGGTCGACGCCGTACTCGGCGGCCCACGACAGCTCGCCGTAGTGGGCGAGGAGGACGTACGGGGAGCCCAGCGTGAAGTTGGTCCCCAGGCTGGGGCCCTTGGCGATCTCCATGGTGTTGTAGAACTCCACCGCCTGGGGAGGGTGGTGGAAGACGACAGAGAGGAGGCCGCCGTAGCCGCCGTTGGGGAGCTTGTAGGCGTCGTAGTAGGGCTTGGTGGGGTTGTGCTTGGGGTAGTAGACGGCCTTGACGACCGGGTGTGAGCGTAGCACGTCGCAGATAGCCTCCGCGTTGGCGTTGATGCGGTCCACGCGGTCCAAGAAGTCGCGGCTGTTCCGCTCCATGAACACAATGTCCTCGGGCCAGTACGTGTCCTCGTAGTTGTCCTCCATCGCCCGCTTGAGCGACTCGTAGTGCCTGCCCTCGGGGTTCAGGATGGCGCTGCCGCCCATGACGTTGGAGGCGCCCGAGAAGATCTTGGTTAGGCTGCTCACGACGATGTCGGCGGCGGGCAGGACGTTGATGTTGGAGAAGGTGCCGATGGTCTCGTCGACGACGACGGCGAAGCCGAACTCGTCCGAGAGGCGGCGGATGCGCGCCAGGTCCGGGCACTTGAGCAGCGGGTTGCCGGGGAACTCGCAGAAGAGGCCCAGGAAGCGCTCGCCGCGGCTGCGCAGGCGGTCCTCGAGGTCGTCGAGGTCCTCGTCGGAGCCGTTGCCGTAGAAGACGCAGCCGGGGCCGAACTTCTGCAGGATCTTGAGGGTGTCGACGTAGGGGAAGCCCAGGTTGATGCTCTTCCTGGGCGAGTCGCCGGCGGCGGTCAGGAGGGCGCGGTGGGCGTTGAATATGGCGTTCATGCCCGCGGGGAAGAGGTAGACGTCGTTCTCGCGCAGGGTGTGGAGGCCGCGGGAGTTGGGTCCGATGTCGACGCCCGGGGAGAGCGCCTGGTCCGGGAGGTCGGCGGCGACGGCGCCCGCGATGCGTCTTCTGATGGCGGACTTGGCGCGCTCGACGAGTGAGAGGTCGAGGTTGCGCCCGAAACGCTCCTCGACGAAGCGGGAGCTCTCCTGGGACTCGTTGACAGAGTTCCCGTTGCCGTTCAGTCCTGCGGATGTAGGCGGGGAGGGGGGTTTCTTGATACCGTCGATGGAACCGGGTCTCTGGTAGCGTCTGGGGCCCTTGAAAGGCCGGGGGGTAGCTGGTTCTTGAGGAGGAGTTGTTCGGACACTGGTGGGTGAGGAAGTTGGGACGAGGAGTTCGCTCTTGAAAAGGTCGTGGCAGAACTCGGCTCTCCGGCTGGAGACGCCGTCACCGGTGTGTTGCCAGTACTGCTTTGCAATAGGTTGGCACTCAGCTGGGTAGACGACGGCTGAGATTGTGGGTGATAGTTTTCGCAGCATGGGCGAGACTTCCTGAGATGGGTCGAGGGAGAGGTCTACTATCGAGATCTCCGAGAAGACTGCAGGGGAGGGGACCCGGGGCTTCATGAACTCGAGACATCTCTTGGCCACGGAAGGGGCTGGGAAGAGCATGGCTTGCTGGCCGGGTTTTCCATATTTCTCAGCAATGTCCTTGGCAAAGCTGCCAATGCTTCGATGGACGAAGAATCTGGGCCCAGTGTTAGAACGTATAATCATCATTATTCTGAGGAAACACTACTCACCTGGGGTAACCGGTCGTCATCTTGTCTACAACCCACTGCTCGCCTTCTTCGTATCCCACATTTGATCTCCATGTTGGCAGAGAGACACTGACGGCCTGTCATGGTGGGCAAAAGCATAATCTTAGATTAGCGGATGCTTCATCCCGAGTGCCTGGGCCTGAAGCCGGAGAACTGAACTCACATGAGCCGTGTCAGGGGGAATCGACTCGCCCAAGTCGAACGAGGGCATAGTGGATGCTGGTTCTGGAACAATACTTGATTCTAGGTTGGGGATGAAACGCGTGGGGAGATCTAATAGTTATCGTACAGAGGTGTATCTAAATAGGAGCGTGTATGCCTTTTAATGCACTCGGTCAATAATGACTCCCCCGAGCAGCGGCGTGATATGACAAGGGGGATGATAATTCCCCTGGGCGCACGTTGATCACAGACAGGATGGAGGCGGGTCTCAGTGCCAGGGTCAGTGTCTCTGTCTCTGTGTGGGAATAGGTACGTATGTGCTGGCAGCCAACAATTGCAGGCATACTAATCAGTAATTAATCGAGTCGACAGCCAGGAGGAGATGCGGCATGCGACAGTCGATTCGGGCCAGTCTCGGAGTGGAGAGTTGTGGATGCAGTCACTGATTTTTTTTCGCTCTCCCAAGTCCAGTTTCCTGCTTCAAGCTTGTTCTTGTGCGGTGCTGCTGCGTCTAGCGTGTGGCCGTAGTCACACAGACGCCGACGATCGGAGTGCCTCCATTTGAACCCATGTACTAAATTGAGCACCCATCTATCTCCCTGGGGATGGATGCTAATTAACCTCGCCCTGGCCTGCTTTGGGTCTGGGTGCACAGCATCAGGAGAAGCAATGCTCGTCCGTTATTCGTCCTGGCTGCTGCTTGTTGGGTGGCATGAGTCGAGAGTCAAGGTGGGGGAGGGGCGATTTTTCATGATGCCCCTCCTCTCTCTAAGGTACCTACTATCCCACCAGTGGATGGATGTGTGCGTGTTGCAATTGGCACCGACGGGATGATGGGAGGAATGGAACATGCCACTGGCAGGATTCGAATGAAAACTCAGTTCTAAGGGCTTGGATTCATGATCGCCTCTTTGCATGTGCCGTCTATTATACAATTCTCTTAAAAAATATGACGAAGAAGAAGAAGAACCAGTCGTTAAAAAAAACACCAAATCCGTCCTGTTGGGCCCGGATATCAGATACTGAAACACATCATAAGGCCTCTTCTTGCAAGAGGCGCCGGTCTGCCACCCATTCTAATGGTGGTGTTTGCGGGCACGTCTGTGGCTACTCTTGCTCCCTATACAGCTAATACTGTCACTTGGGGCGAGGCTCTCCATGTCGTCGTCCCAGTCAGCATGGCTGCTGCCAACTCCGCTCATCGGTAGAGGGACGTCTCGTGCTTCCCATCCTACCTGGCTGCTTCCCGCTCCGCTCTTGGGCAGGGGTATTCTCCTTGCAGAAATACGACTCGGCGCGGTACTGTACGCTGTTCTCGTAGGCGGCGGCCTCGCTGTCACAGCGCTTACCTGTGTGCGGGCCCTACTCCTAGCCCTGCTTCTGCTCCTGGGTTCGTCGGGCCGCCCACGTTCCGGTTGGGCATCGATTCTAGATGAACGATGGGTTCGTGCAGACACATATGTCTCTCGTTCGAATTCTGGGACTGGAGCTCTCCTCACCTTGAGCCCGTTGGCGCGAGGAGGCATTGTAGATTCTGGTGCAATGCTGCGCTGGGGAGGGTAAGATCTGTCGTAGTGTTCAACCTGCGACCTTGCAGGTGCTTCGCTGCGAGCGCGAGTGATTGGTACTTGGCCCTGTGGCCGTGAGGAGTAACGACTCCGTGTATCTTGGATTTCTTCGACTACTCCGGGTCGGGAGGGTGCTCGAGACCTGGGATAGCCATTCTGCATAGGTGGTCGGGTCAGATATTGAGGCGCTGATGACCAAGGGTCATTGCCATATTCAACATCCTCATCCCCTTCCACATAGGCATTTCGGATAGGTAATGAGTTAAAGTCTGGATATGCGAACCTCCGAGGCGTTTTGTGGTCATGGTAGTTATACATTGGGACCACACCTGTCTCATGCGTACTCTGGCGTCGGTAGCTTGTTACCGGCTTATCAGGGAAAGTAGCTCTTCGTCGAGGCGGCCCATCAATATATCGTTGATCAGGCGCATCGGGTGACGGGGACCTACGGCTCTGCACGATGCCATATGTCAAGGCGCCGGCAGCAGCAACGCCAAGAAGAGCCCCCATCACCGTCGTTGAGTTGAAGCCACCTTCTTGAGGGGCTCCACCTCGTTGCGCAGGATCTCGAGGCATTGTTTCGGCTACAGTGGGTGGTGGAACTTTGGTTAGAGCACCTGGATGCGCTGACCGGTAGGCTGAGTGAGGACCGTACACCGTCTCGGAATGGCGTGTGTGGGTTATTGCAGTTGATCGATGTACGTCACCGCCAGGGTTGGCGCCGTTGACCTTTCTTGGGTTGAGCGTTATCCTGGTGGGCTTCGCAGCAGCCTGTGATGATTTCTCGACGTCGAATTTCCAGTCGAGGACTGTGGGCGGTGCGCCTTCGTTTCCGTATTCCTGCGAGTGAACTACTTCGATCCTATTGCCGTCTAAGTCGTATAGCACCGCGTGGGTGTGCTGCACCCTGTTGCGGTCGGTGGCCTGCCAGGGTCCCTTTCTCACCTCGTCGACGTCCTTGAAGTGATTCTCGAGACCTCGACGGTCACGGAACCTAGACCAAAGCGGAGGGTCCGCCCTCGCGCCACAGCGGTGGAAGATGGAAACCGATTGCTGAGACGGCGCACTGATCACCAGTGAGGTCAGGACGGGCGGTCTTAGAGGATTCGCCGTCTGCCTGAGCTCTAGGACTGGATCACCCCCATTGAGACAGTAGGTAACAAAGGTTGGTAGAGGCGAGGACGTCAGACCTCTTACTTCTGGCGGTGGGGTGTAGTGTAGGCCGAGTGGTTGCAGGACGCCAGAGTAAAATGAAGTCGACGAGGCCAGGTGCGATACCTCGACAAAAGGAATCATGCCGGCTGCTATATATGCACCCGCTGCGTGGTTGTGGGCGACCGAATATCTGTGTGAAGCTGGGCTGTGCTTCGCTGTGCTGCGGTCCCAGGTATGAAAACGAGTCGGTAAAGAAAAGACCAGGCTCTTGTGTGTGGGCCTGACCAATGTGATCCAGTTGTGCGTAGCAGGTGTGTATGTAACTCATCTGCGAGCAGCGGTAGCAAGCAGTATGGAGAAACAGCCAGTGGTCGAGGTGTGGTCAACCAACCAGGTGGGATACACACAAGTAGACGCCTTTACCGCCACTGTGCCTGCTACCGTGCCTAACGGGAGAGTGGCTTGGTCCGTACCTATTACCGGGAAGGCAGATAGACGACGGGTATCTGCCTGGAGAAGTGCAGGGTGAAGGTGCAGTTGGTCTTACCATTAATCGATCCTGTGCTTGCGAGCGGGGGAGTGAGCTTGCGACGATGGATGTATGAAGAACAAGCCTAATATGTAGGTGAAAGATAATATGGGACAGCCGGCGGCAAAACAGGCCACGATGATGAGCGATCGACGCTAGGAGCTGGAGCAAGCAGCCAGGGCTTAATACTCGATCAGGAGACGGGGTTGTGGAAGAGGAGAGAGTCTCACGGACACGGAGGCACGGAGGGTGGCGCTGATAACAGGAGCTGGCGAAAAGATGCCGGGAGGATGAGGATGCCCTATGAGACAAGTGATTCACTCATTGCGCCGTGGTGAGCGGCGGCGAGGGATAGCTGGGCAGGCCTTGATGGACAGAGGGAGAATAGCCTCATTCATGAATAGGAAGCCGAGATACGCTCATCCAGCCAGTCCGGTCGCTGGGACGTGTCTTGCCCCATGACTGGATTTGTTGACAATAGTCGGCAGCCATGGGTGTGCGTGACTGGTCGCTGGCAGGCATGCATGATGCATGTCGGCCCATCGATGGTCTCTATCGACGGCCTCAGGGGGAGCCTGGACGACCTGCTGTAGGCCGCTGTCATGGGCCGGGTGTGTGACTGTGTGGGTGCGGGTGTGCCCTCTGTACCCGCACAGCTGACGGACGGTGCTTGGGGTGCATGTCGGCAGAGCACTTAAGAGTTATACTCCGGATCTTATTGCTATTGAGATTACTGCCATGGTCGGGTGTCTATCCAGCGGTTAGCATGCAGGCAGGATGGGACAGCGGGGAATATTAGTACCGCAGCTCTTGCTCTGCATCTTGGTAGGTAATGTATCGCTGTCGCCAACGGCCGGCAAATACAGTAAGTAGGTCGGCAGCTGGGTGTGTTGGATGTGATGAGAGTAGGGCTTGATGGCTCAATTTTCTCCGAATCATGCTGGCTGGCCACCATGTTCGTAGGCCATGGGCTGGTTGGTCAGGTTCTGTCTTCAGGTGCTCCCGCCTGATTAGCGCTCTTTGCTGGGTTGCTAGGCGCACTGTAGGCATGGGTAGACCTTGAAGCCAACCCTGTAGGGAGATACCGCCAGGGAATGGAGGGGCCCTTGAGGTCGTCGTCAGGGGGCTCAGTGGAGGGGTGGAGGGGTGGAGGGGTCCATGATGGCTGTTTCGGCGTGGTGCATTGCCCTGCTGCCACGTCGAGCCAAGCAGTCCGGCATGTTGCTCCTGATCATCGTGCAAGCACTTCGTCGCGCGCTGGAGGGATCGCAACTGTCAGGCACCAACAGAGACACACGCCTCATTATGAATTGATGGTGTGATACGGCTCTTGGGGCTGTGAAGGTGGCACTGCAACCATTCGTCTGTGTTCGACGAACATGCAAAATCACACAATAGCTCGTGCGCGGAACACGAACTATGCGCGTATGGTTGGATATCCTGGTGGGCATTACATCACTCCCTGCCTGCCGTCTGTGCTATTGGGCTGGCGCTGCTGAGGATTTCTGCAAGTCATCCACCAGCCGCTGCAGTTGGGGTTGTTTTCCTACCCGTTCTTCATATATCAAGTGGCCCTACATCATACCAATCCATCGTAATTGGCTACCACTGTACCACAGCAGCAGTAGGGAAAGGCCTGTTGTATGTGGATTGGGGAGCTCCTCAAAGTGTCTGCATTACGAGTGATTCACGCGGCTGAGAGACCAAAAGTGTTCTCAGAGAGGGCTGACTGTAGAAGAATCCATAGCTTCCTTGTTTCGTAGTGTTTTGTTATGTCATAACGTCCAGAAACCAAATCAATCTGTCAGAATGGCAAACGATAACTCCAGTCCGAATCCCAACATTAATGAAAACAAAGGATACACTCAAAGTCCTTGATGTTAAATCTCCCTTCCCATCTTGTTCTTCCCATCTTGTTCTTGCCTGTGAGCTCTCTGAGCTACGACTCAAATGTCGAATAACCTTATTCTGTTGCTGGGTAGTTGGATATCCTACAACAGACCTTGTCTCCTGTGAAACCAAAAGATTCCGACAAAATGAAGTGACCAATGTCCCTGCTTAGTGTGTAGTCAGTGCAATCCTACTTTCTCGATTAGGCCTTGCGTAGTTGCGCTTGCTGGAGCATTTGGGGAATTATTCCCAAGTGCGGAGGAGCAGCGTGGGTCACAGCCCAAGAGGGCTTACAAAACATCCCAGGCATCCTCGACAGCATGGCAGAACTTGCTGCAGGCGACACTCGCAGAGAGAGCGTAGTTGCTGATACCAATCTTCTCATCCACGAGTGAGTCTGCGAAATCGTCGTTGCCCTTGGCCATGGCACCGACAAAAACGCAAATGCTCTCCTTGGGGCCGAGACCCTCGACGTAGTCCCGAACGCGAACGAGGGGAGCGTCAAAACTCAAAGTCACCTTTCGGCAGTTGGGTGGGAGATGGTCAGTGATTGGGTTCGAGATTACGCGAAGCAGCTTCTCGTTCGAGTTTGTCGAACGGATCGAGAGGCGATGCAGCAGCTGGACCATAAGACCAGCGAAGCGCTTGAATGTTCTAGGAATACGGACCGAAGGTGAGACCTCGATGAGGACTCCCTTGGCTGTGTGGATATAGATTTGGAGCCTGCCGGCTTTGTTGATGGGCGAGTCGAGCAATGTCAGCAGACACTATTGACGGGAACCAGTCAGCATGTTGAATGCGGACTCAAGCACTGTGTCGTAAAAGGGACACTTTGATAGCAAAAGGTAGAGAGAGGCAGAACCTGGTGGGTAATGTCAGGGCGGGCATCACTAATGTCCCGGCTCATTTTACGAAGAACACCGATGTGCTCATCACTGTTGAGGAGAGAGTATTTGTCTTCACGATGAACGCCATTTCGGCCAGTGCCTCCATGGGATGCTTTGTATGTTTCGAGACTTGCGTTCGAGAGGACGACGATGAGACGTTGGGTGTCTTTGTCGGATGTAGGGATGGGTGTCTTCTGTTCGGCAACGAGCTGGGGTAACTGTGGGGGAGGAAGCGATTGCGTTCCTGCCATCATGTGTTGATCGTCGGTCAGCGAGAGCTCCATTGTGATTAATTGCAGAAGATGAAGCAAAGCGGATAGGTTGGGCAATGAGGGGAGACGTAGGGTAGCGGTAGCGGGATATGACCCGATAGCATGAGCCAACGGGTGGAAAAATTGCTTTTTACAGCAATGTCTCACAGCCCGGTGATGTCGCGATACGAGGGTGAAAATGATTGGAAAATGTGAGGGCGGTTCTTACTAGGCCGCTTGACTCCTGTTGGACGGTCGGATGGTGAAGCCATTTTTTCGTCTTCGTACTTCGAGTCACTGGTTGGACACGTGAGGTCGGCGAAATTGATTCGCTGGGGCGTGTGATACGTCGATTGTACGTTCTATGCAGGTAGCCCTAAAGGTTAGGAACAGAATTGAATGTCTGTGGAACAATAATTGAGTACGCTGGTGCTCAACCCGGTCAACTAAGATATGAGCAAGGTAGGAAGAGGAAGAAGAATCGAGGCGGGGAGTAATATGATCAGGCTACCAGGTCTTAGAAAGTTGCCGAGAGCGCTGAGAATTGTGTAGCGCAACAGAACACGAGTAGAACCGAGCCGAATGCGCCCAGTCAGGCCGAGTACCGGCGCTGAGTTGCTGTATGAGTGGGCTACTACGGTCAGTGGGAAGGATTGGTACCACCTACCAGGTGCAGCTAGCGACTGGTGCCAGCTTACCCTGTTGCTGTGACCTGGCGCTCGCTTACCTAAGACCACAGACCATCAATCCCCACTCTGTCCAATGAGATGCACGGATTGCTTCAAGAATCGCGACAGGCAAAACTGAAGCCAAAATTTACTGCCAATTGATCCAGAGGAGAGGTCTCTCTGTGAACCGCCATATATCAACCGTGCCACCCTCGTTCCCGGCATATACTCCCCATAATGTCGTCAACCGTAGCAAAGGCTGCTCGTAGAGTCACCCACGAGCTGCATGGAGTCGTTGTTTCTGCTGGCCTCATGGACAAGACCGTCAAGGTCCGAGTGGGCGGTCAGAAGTGGAATAAGATAGTCAACAAGGTTTGTCCTCAATCAATGGGCCTCGAGCTGATATGACGGTGGTCCTCCCATGCTAACCGTTGCACTCCTCGCAGTGGTTTGCCGACCCAAAGCACTACCTCGTCCATGATCCCAATTCGTCTCTTCGCACAGGTGACGTCGTTTCCATTGCGCCCGGCTGGCCGACATCCCAGCACAAACGCCACTACGTCAAACACATAATCGCACCGTTCGGAGATCCCATTGATAAACGACCACCTGTACCCACCCTGGAGGAGTTGATAGCCGAGAGAGAGTCCAAAAAGGAAGCCAAAGACGAGCGCCGGACAGCAAGAAGGCAAGAGCAACACGAGAAGGCCGTGGAGGAGAAGCAAAGACGCAAGGCCAAGCTAGCAAAGCAACAACATAGACCCATCGAAACTACCGAGAACAGCTCAGCAGAACAATGATCTGAGCAGCCCATTTGGGCGACGGGCGATCTGTGAAAGGATTAGGACCTGTTCAACTCCACATACGAGGGAGCTATTAGCGAGACACGAAAGCATATGTCCTGGGGCACGACCATGTATTTTCAGGGAATGTAAGAGTACAAATATTTTGGCTTGGTGATGTTATGGGAGGGCTCATTACGCATGCTCTGTATAAACTGTACAATAGGCCCATCTTATGGCTGCAATGCAACAACTCGAATTGATGCGAACCAAGTATCGTGTGTAATGGTATTTATCATTTATATCGCTGCCTTGTACTTGAACCTTGGTCTTTCTACCCTCCTCTTTCGCCAAATTCCTTGGCCCAGTCCTCGTATTCCTTCAACCCAGCCTTGCCAACACTTGGTCGGATAGACCTTAAACTATTTTCGAAATCCTGAAGCATAATTGGGCGAATTTCGTCCATTGTCATTTGTAGTAATGCATCCCCCAAAGACCGTAAAGGGCCCATTGCGGCATCTTTGGCGAGTGCTGTTATGTCCGATCCGGAGAAACCTGCATTTGAGAATGAGTATAAGTGCTTTCTAAACTGAGTAGGAGAGGGACTAAAAAAACTCGAGCTACATACCGTCTGTTAGTTCAATCAACCGGTCGACGTCCTCTTCCGTCAGACTGTGCTTCTGCAGAGCAAGTAATGTCTGAAGTTGAGTTTTGCGGGTTTCAGGCTCAGGTAGAGGAATATACTGTCGTCTAACAAATCGTCGACGAGCAGCTTCATCGATAGCCCACGGTAAATTTGTTGCGGCCAGGACGAGAACTCGGTTTGCATCGCCACGTTCCTTATCTCGTTCCGTCGTCTCCCTCCCAGCGGCGGCTCGTTGTAAGTCGCTCCACTGGATAAGGAATTCGGTTTTGATCCTGCGTGTTGCCTCGTGCTCTCCTGACCCTGATCGCTGTGAGAGTAACGAATCGATCTCGTCCACGAAAATGATGCTTGGTGCCAGCAACTTCGCCAAGCCAAACAGTGCCTTGACTAGTTTTTCCGACTCTCCAAGAAACTTGCTCGTCAAGCTACTCGCTGATATCGAAAAGAACGTTGATTTGGACTCGGTGGCCACCGCCCGCGCGAGCATAGTCTTTCCAGTACCCGGAGGCCCAAACAATAGCATTCCTCTGGCTGGTTCTCGCAAGCCCATGAACAGATCGGGGCGGAGGAAGGGGTAGACGACAGCCTCTCGAAGCGCATTTTTCGCAACCTCTAAACCAGCAACGTCGCCCCATCGCACTTCATCGCCTTGAACAACAATGTCATTGAGAATTTGTTTAGCAGCGCTTTCATCAATGCCGGAAGGGAGGTTCTTGAGGACAGCAGCCTTTCGCTTTTTCCAAGCAAAATCTTCGGTCACTTCTTCATTGGCAGAGGAGCTGTCTGGGGTGCCAGGACGTTCAGTGTTTTCCGATTCGGCAGTTTTTCTTCGTGCTGGTGTTGGTCTAACAGCCCGCCTTTCATTCTCACCGTCGTCAGAGCTGGTGAATGTCCCTGAATGCGAACTGGAATGCCGTTCTTTCCTGCGAGAGTCACTCCCTTGCTCCGACTGTGTCTTGGGCGTTCCCACAGGTCGCCTTGCGATTGGCTTCTCTCTTATAGGCAGGCTATAGGAAGACTTCCCAGATACACCAGCAGGACCCTCTGAAATAGCCATGTCGTGACGCTGTTCTGTTCGAGAGATTTTCGAAGGTGCTGATGCGGGGGATCTAGAAGGTGGATGTCTCTCTATTCGGTTGATACCATGATCTGACGAAGAATGATCGAGCGCAGATGTTGAGTTTAACGCGCTTGATGCAGCACTAACAGATATGTTAGATGGGCCGAGATACTCATCCGAATGCCTTGTCCCGGAAACATTCCCACTATTGACTGCGAGGTCATGTTCTCGAGCTGTCACTAGTCGTCGAGAGTGACTATCCCAGTGCAAGTGAGGCGATCCTGTCCTTCGAGTATGCTCTGCCGAGCGACGCTGGCTGATGGATTGGGGAGTCGAGGACTTTTCTGAATTTGATGCTCGTGATACTTTCTCGCGTGAGCTTAAAGCACTCCAAGCCAAGGTAGCAGCTTTGCTTGGGCCTTCCCCAGCAGGTTTGGAAGATTTCCGCAAGCCTTTTGGAAGCTTATCACTAGACTTCCCGGACCGCAAGGTAGTCCTCATGGTGTATTTGTCTGGACTTGGGCTTTGAGTTGAGTGGCCATCCTGGGCACTCCTCTCAGGAGATGGAACTCTTTGCGTGGAGTCGAGCGGAGCAGATAACACTGCGTTTAGAGTCGAACTTGAACCGGGACTGGCTCGGCTTGGTGCCGGGGCGTCGGATGTTGCGCGAGGTGGTAGGGGCGGCCTCAAAGACCTGGGAGATGGCCGGGCTGGACGCGAGAGCTGTGAATATGTGACCGCAGGGATGGTACCGTCTCCGATAGAGCCCTTGGAAGTCCCACCCGCCTGTGAAGATTCCTGGCCGTTGATGAACTTTCCATTCGTCGAATTTGAACAAGACGACGCCGCCTCTTGCCGTGATACACGCAGGGCCTCTAGCAGGTCTATCCTCTCCTTGCACTGGAGTTCCAATTCTTTGAGGGCATCAATCAAGGCTCTTTCAGTGTCCGTTTTCGTCGCATACATCGGTAGGGCTTTGTTGGCGTTGTGGTCGTAGATTTGGTCCAGCGCATTTCTCCAATGGCGCATGGCCTCGACTTCGTTGCCCTATGAGAATGGCGCTGTTAGTCAATCACCCAGCAGCCGGTGTCGAGACGGAGAGCATAGCAACGTGATCCAATATAGCCCGGGCATCAGGCCGGACAAGATGGGTGAAGGTTGTCCTAGGATGGTAACGAACCTGACTTTCATGATATACAGCTGTCGAACAACTCAGGTAACTATCGTCGTATGTCTTTTGAAGCACGGTCAAGGCCTTGTTCCGCGACATTGCACTGGAGGTAGGCACATAGTAGGCCTTGCATTCGCCGTCTGTACCAGGACAACACAAGGGCGTGCGCAAGGTAGCGACTGAATTGCTACAAGGTCGTTCACGTAGCTGCGCCTTGGGAGGGTTGATCGAGGTGAGTGGGCTGGTGGGCCATACCACCTACGACGTAATGAGAGTGTATGTACCTTCAGCCTTCTTGTTGATGCAGCTGGAGGGGAAAAGCAAGTGCGTGCCACTGTGAATAGAGACCCGACGCTAATTCCTGGGCAGGGTACAGTACATCTACGACCTAGGCACAGGTACAACCACAACCGTGGCACCCCACGTGCTCTCCTGTATCGCTCTATACAATTTGGTGAATTTTTAATAAGCTGGTCTATGAAGCCATGGAATCTCCATTGAATGCAAAGGCTTTCCTTACCTTTTACCAGAGCCCTACGGTGCGGTGCCTCTGTACAAGGGCCTTGCAGCGCACCCGCTAAATGCTTACCTCCAAATTAGTACCTACCTTCCAGGCGAGCTGATGGCAGTTTAGGGATGGCCGTGCAGTGACGTCAGCAGCTTTGGCCGTTCGCGGCTGTGCTGCGTAAAAACGTCAACGTTAAACGATGGACCGAAGCGGCCATGAGACGGCATGGAACAGCGACTGGATGCAAAGAAAAAGTCTCGTCAAGACTTGATATGTTTTCTATGTGCAATATGGTATATTCTACGATAACAAAACACGGATCTCTGCTGTAGTCCTGGGGAAAGCCTTTCTGAGCTCTCCTCCCTCGCTGGATTCACTGCTGTCATCTTCTTCAAGGCTAGCGGCGTCCGCAGCTATCACCGCCTTCTCTAGTTTCTCAAAATCAGTGCAGAATTTCTCAGCTGCTTCCTCAGTGATCCGGCGCGCCATAGCTGAATCTTGAAGATGCTTGAGTCTGTCTATAGCATCCATAAGTGCTGACGGCAGGAAGTCGTCTAGACTTTGGCTTGCCTGAGCCAGGGTCTGGGGGTCGTTCAATTCTTCGGCTTCTTGTCCCTCTTTTTGAGCAGCGTCGAGCATATCCTGGAGCCCCGAACCTTCGGAGAAGAACGAGTATTGGCTCTCGGTCAATTCTTTTGATTCTAACTTGAGCTTTTCTTGGACTTGTTGTAGCCTAGATTCTGTGAAGTCGAAGTCGTCTAGGCATGAAACGGCAGCAAGCCGACAGTTGATGAGGAAAATGGCGTCATCCGGCGCTTTCATTGACTTGGCCATATTCTCACAGCCGAGGAGAAAAGGATCGAATGCTTCAGCCAAAACGCTGTCAAAGCCGGTTTTGCGATCGTCGGACGAGGACAAAGATGAGTCGTATGTCTGAATAAACGAGCCCAGTTGCTTGAGAGAGTCTTGCAAAAATGAAGGGGGACCAAGATCTGATGGCGCTTGCTGGAATTCGCTCTGTAAGTTCCCAATGTGTTCCCGAACGAGCGCTCGAAACTGGCGCATTGCTTCTGCCTGAAGGCTTTGGACAACTTCGACTAGAGTCGACTCGTCGGTGAGAAGCCTCTCAAACATCACGCCATAGAAGCCGATATGATTTGCCAGCTTGTATGCCGGGACGATTTCCTCATTTGAATGGATCACCTGTTCAACCCTCTGGCGTAGCAATCTTGCGGCACCAGAAATATCGTGATCCACAAGATCGTGTAGAGCCCTGAGAGCGTTGAATTCGCCCTCGTACTCATCCTCATCGTCGACAAGACGCCATACTTCGGCATCCCTCCCGGATTTTAACCCTCTAGCAAGTTCTTCTCCCTCCGCCACGAACAAAATTTCAAGTGCCTCTCTCTCACTTACAGTTGCCGAATGAATCCAGGCCAACATGTCGCCCACATAGCGAAGAGGGTCGTGGGCGGCCATATCTATTGGCTTCAGAGAAGGGTCCTCTACCTCCGACGACGAAACACCCGTCAACGCTGCTAGGAATGCGTCAGATAAGATTCTTTCTCGGGCCTCTGCGAAAAAGTCAAGGCAGTTTTGGAAGAGCGATGGCCGTTCTGCGAGAACTCGCAGAGCACGACGTATGGAGTGGTTCATCTGGGGGTTCTCGAGGTTGAGTGTTTTGAATTCTCGCTGGACCCATTTGTAAAGCTTTTGGAAACCAATATTAATGTTTTTGGACGTTTGTTCCATCAACTCAAGCCCCAATGTTTGTTTTTCGAATCCAAGCAAAACCTCACAATCCTTGCTGATCGACTTTGCTTTGGCGAGAGCGTTGAAGAAGCGATCGTCAACGGGCTCAGAAGTCATTACCAATGAATCCACTTCATCAGAAGACAAGATGAAATGATCCTTGAAAGCTACAAGGACCTGCTGCTTTGTTTCAATTTGTGCGCGCTGCTCCAACAGGGAGGCGGCCTCCGTTAGAGCTGGCTCTGTTCGAGAGTGCGCAGATTCAATCTGTTTCTTGACTTCCATGTAGCTTGAGTTGAGCTTGTCAACTGTATGCTTTATGCGGCGTAGTTGCTGAACGTGATTTATTTAGTCCTACCCAACAAATCATGGATAGTAGATGAACTCACCTCAGCCACTCGACCAAACTCGCCGATAACGACGCTGTTGCAGTCGATGACCTCTTTTTGAAGATCAAGGCGAAGGTGGCGCCTTGTCTCGGCATCATTCTGAACCCCTCGCTCATCTATAAGCGCGAGTGCATCCCGGAACTCCGCATCGGAATAAGATGTTGACAGGACCGACGTGACCTTTGATGTGAAGGCTAGTGAACCCTTATGACTGGACAGCCCAGGGCTGTATGGAGATGGAAGACCACTATCTGAAGGATCGCGAGCCGGCATGCTCTTCATAGAAAGGTTTGGCTTGGGCGCCATGTTTAATGTTCTGTTCCCAGGCCAGTTTAGATGGGAGACTTGATTTGGTGATGAGATTGCAATCGAAGAAGAAACGTGTCATGCCATTCCCAATTCGGGTTGGGAACCGATTGGCTATGTTTGTGACAGCTACAATGAATGAAAATAGGAGCTTATCAAGTTGGTGATGGCTGACAGGCCGAATAACGGCCTCGTAGCTATGCGGCGCGCCGACTCCCGTCCAGACACATCTCCAGGCCTTGACCAAACTGGCTGGTTGCCCTGGTCTCAGTGCCAAGACATATGACCTCAAGTAGCAGCCTGGTGCGGGCGGTGGCTGTTACCTGGGGTATGTCCGGCAATATAGCTCTCACCGCCCGCTCTAGGCCTCCATCATCCATCGTCAGTGAATGTGTCATTCATCCATCTCTCTGCGTTAGTAGGTGAATAGACCTCAACTTGGGTCACTGGGTATTTTGCGACCTCGCCTTTATCTCCATTCACCGCAGCGCATACAATCTGTCAGCTTCGGGGAGCTCTATTTACAAGTGCGAGCCGCGCATCAGCAGTGGGCCCGCACCTTACTCCTCCCTCTGGTGGCACATGGCATAGAGGTCATGTTATCTTGATCACAATACCTGACGCCTCACGGGCCAACGACGAAAAGTCATTCTCACCGATATTACCGCCCTTCTCGATTACGTCTCTGCTTTATCAAGCGCTCCAGGAGGTCCAGTGAGGTTTAGTGGAAGACCTTCTTCGAAACCTTTTGAACGTCGAACACTCTCTACGGCTTCGACCTTGACCAGGTTTTGTTCGACATGACCATATAGATTTTCTCGTCAGGGAAATTCAGCTACGGCGCTTTGGATAATGACTTCGAATATTTTCGGACGGCACGCCGCCTCCGCGGGCACTCGATCTTTCTACGAAGAACTACACACCCGAGATGACGAGGAGGACTTAGAAGACCAGGCTGGGTATAATATTGACGAGGAGAATCTAAGGCACCAATTCAATGATCTTGACGCGAATGCGCTTGGCCCCTCAGACAGCCGCGTCACAGTAGCAAGCACTGCGATGGGTGGCGTTGGCGAGCCACAGGGTCGCACAAGTTCCCGTGGTAGGCGCGGGTCTTTATCTCATTGGAAGTCGCCAGAAGATGAAATAGACAATGACGTTCCGGCATCCTTGCTAGTCGAGCCAAATGATGGAGAGCACCCGATATCACCGTTGATACGACCCGCAGGTTCTCGCCCGCCCCATGTGCAACCGCACGCCATTCCTGGCCCATCTTCGGCGCGGGTGGACGCTCGATGGGATGCGGCGAGAGCTCAGCAACAACTACATGAACCTATCCCAAAGAGGTCGCAGCCGATATCACTGATGGCTGGCCGGATACCTGGTGGGCCCAAAGAGAAGGCGCTCTGGCGGTGGGTAAACACCTCCAACCTCGACAGCTTCATGCGCGATGTATATGATTACTTTGAGGGGGGAGGCCTATGGTGTATTCTTTGTTCAAATGCCTTATGGCTCATGTAAGAATTCCCCATAAGATGACGCAGCGACAAAAGTAATTTGCTAACGGGTGCAGTGAGACTCTGTTCGTGGCGGTTTTGCTTACTTTCCTCACCCAATGTGTGGATTACAGCAAGCTCCCGCATAGCACATCCCTTGACCAGGTTGTGGTCGGCCAGTGTACGAGAAAAATGTCTGGACTATGGAGTGTTGGGATTTGGCTCTATTCCTTCTTCTTTCTGTGGAAATCTGTTCAGTATTTCCTCGAGCTAAGGAGGCTCAGTCATGTTCGCGAATTTTACCTGCACCTTCTCGAGATTCCCGAGCAGGATATGCAAACTGTCTCCTGGCAGGACATAGTAGCTCGGATCATGGCGCTGCGCGAACAGAACCCGAAGACGGCCACAAATATTCCGCGAAACCTACGCCGGTTCATCGGAAGTCAGTCGAAGGAGCGGCTCGATGCTCATGACATTGCCAACAGGCTTATGCGTAAGGACAACTACCTTATCGCGATGATTAACAAAGATGTTTTGAATCTGTCCTTGCCATTCCCGTTCTTAAGGGGCCGTCAACTGTTCTCAAAGACTATGGAATGGAACTTGCACTTTTGCATATTGGATATGGCATTCAATGAGCTTGGGCAGGTTCGGCAAGATTTCCTGCGAGCAGATCGCCGGCGGATTTTGAGCCAGAAGTTGAAGCAACGCTTCTATTTTGCAGGCTGCTTGAACCTATTGTTTGCCCCGGTTGTCCTGGCATATGTCATCATTGTGTATTTTTTCACATATTACAACGTGAGTGAAGTCCCCTATCTTACTTATATGCATGCTTTTTTAGTAGCTGGAGTTAACATTGAGGCAATAGGAATACCAGAAAGATCCCAAGCTGGCTGCGGCCCGTAAGTACACGAGGCTGGCAGAGTGGAAATTTCGCGAATTCAATGAATTACGCCATATCTTTTATGAAAGAATTCACATGTCGATTCCGTTTGCGACCCGGTACATTGACCAGTTTCCGAAGCGTATGACTGAAGACATTGCCAGGACCATTGCCTTTATGTCTGGGGCGCTCACGGCAGTACTGGCCATGCTTACCATTTTCGATTCTGAACTTTTCCTGGGATTTGAAATTACGAAGGACAGGACGGTAATCTTTTACCTCGGTGTTTTCGGAGCTATCTGGGCTGTTACTAGAGGAATGGTGTCCGAAGAGTCGGACGTTTTTAACCCCGAATACGCCTTGCGCAATGTTTCCGAGTACACGCACTACATGCCTGACCACTGGCAAGGAAGGCTCCACAGCTTTGAAGTGAAGCAGGAGTTTGAAGAATTGTACAAGATGAAGGTCGTGCTCTTCTTAGAGGAAATTATGGGCATCGTTACAACTTCATTACTGCTCCTTTTTTCGCTCCCCCACTGCAGCGACCAGATTATCGACTTCTTCCGGGAGTTTACGATCCACGTTGATGGACTCGGATACGTTTGCTCATTCGCTGTTTTTGACTTTAAGAAAGGAATGGGAGATGGCCAAGCCATGCCGAGTCACGATGTTCGCGAGGACTACTATTCAACCAAACATGGGAAGATGGCAGCATCGTACTATGGGTTCATCGATAACTATGTCATCAACCCTAAGACGGGAATACCGGGGCATTTGCCGCCCGGGACTCGGCATCCCTTCCACCCTCCACCGGTCTTCCCGGCGCTCAATTCACCGACATTTGCAGCCGATATGCACGGCTCCTTCGCTGGGAGACCCGAGACTGGGAGAGCGAGGAGCCGCGGAGTTAGAGCCGGCACACGGATGCCTCCCCCTGCACCATCACCCATGGCATCGATGCTTCTGGATCCCCATCATCAACCGGCTGGTGTGAGTAACGCGACAAGAGGTCTCCACCGGTCCCGTTATCCCCGAGGCCTAGCCTACGGCGAAAGTCAAGTTATTGAGGAAGGCGGGGAACATCTGGATCAGGAGGAGGAGATGTATGAAGGCGGCGATGTTCTCGAAGAATCAGCTTGGCAGACTTCACCCGGAAGGGGTCTGAGTCGAGATAATAGCGCAACAGACACGAAAGAGCCAGAGGCCGGGGTATTGGGCATGATTTACCAACTTAGGCAGACACAACGCTACCGGCGAGGGGGACCAGGCGTAGTTTAACTACCATATTTGCATTTTACAGCTAGCGTACCGAGGCTCTTGCTCTTATTATGGATTGGGCCTGGCTGCTGGTTTTTTCTAAGGCGTCCAAGGATGGTTTTTTTTTTAGAGCTACATTTACTGTGTCAGCGATTAGCTGGGTCTCTGGGATTAGATGAACTGCGGAATTCGATACCAAGGGCTTATGGGTTAGCAAAGAATCACACGAATAGACATGACGAGCTGCTGATTTACATGAAAGTGATCGACAAGACTTTACTATCTGGTGATTTGGATGACATGCGAACATCCAGCCCATTCATTTTTGGGATGTGGGTAGGCGGGCGTTCCGCGAGCGACCATGTTGCGTGTGACAAGGCGGTGTAAATTCAGTCGGGATCATCAGCCCGATATTCTGGGCATGGGAGCAGATATCCAAAGAGCGAATTCTGCCGAGATGAGATCCCGGCTAGTGGGATTCTCACCGAAGTTGCACCAGAGCCTCCTTTTGTGTCTGCCGCCTGTGAGCCAAAGGTGCCGAGCGATGCGTTTGCTGTCTGTAGCTACCAGCCCTTCCAAAGAGCGGGGGGTTCATGCTGTTGGCTGAAACAACTCTTGAAAGCCGTACGTACCCTAAAGGGAAAATAAACTATACTCAGTAGGGGTTTTCATGTAGCTGGTCGAAGCAAATCTTTGGGTCTCATATCGGCCAGCCTAGCAAGCCCAACTCGAGAAGAAGAGATGGGGCCAGGCGAAAATCAAGAGAGAATCATAACTGGCCGCAACCAGGCGTCAAGGATGAAATTCCTACTGATTTTGGCCTCTTGTCGTTTGCAAACTGACCAAAGCGCGACTTCTACAACTATAAAGCAGACTTGCCAAAATATAAAGTTAAGCGATCCCTTGCCCGAACCCATGTCAAAGAAGAGTGATGGCATTCTGCGTGAGATCCCGACAATCGCGTCCCAAGAAGACCAAAAGATGGCACGCCAATTAGGCAGTACATGATTACAGTTAGTTCTTGCATGGCATTTCAAAATTCCAGGTAGTTGGTTGGCCAAAACTAGTTGGCTGGACGAAATATTTCCACATTGGGTCCATTTTCACCAACATCAGTGCAGGTCCCCCCTGTAAATCTAGTGATTATTTAGGTACTATTTAAGGGGAAAGGTAATGTATAATAACTGCCAGCAGGTAACAGCTAATCTGCCCATCTGCCTTCTTTTCCCTAGATTCGTCTCACACAGCAACGCATACGGCATGGATTCTACTCCAGACCTCACCTCCCTTCCCGTGGAGATCCTGCAGCTCATTCTTGAGCACACACATACTTCGGGACATTGGCCTCTTGCCCAGACATGCAAGCACGTGTATCTTCATTCCCAACACGTCCTCAACCGTCATCGTGAAGCGTATCAAAAGTTCAGAATCAGCTCTGACCTTGACCCAAGAACTATCATCCACCTTCTGGCGAGTTGTTTTAGCCACGGGGCAGCCTCTATTGATGCCTGGCATGTCAGGGAGTTCGAGGTCTGGGGTGATAGAGAAAACGGGGAGCCCTGGGAAGTGGACGTGGATACTGGCGAGGTCCGGATACCAGAAGGGGGCAAGCCCTGGTTATTTCCTCGCGACGGCATCAGCTACTTCTGTGATGAGTTGCTGAAAGCGGTGGGCCACTCTATTGACAAAGAAGGCTTCCAGGCTCAAGCACGGAAGCAACTCGAAACGGGCGCGGACAGCCACCTCAAATGCTGCCTGCTGGCCCTCCTGCCACGTATTCGGGCTCTACGTTATGCACGGGCCGGCGGAGCAGATCACAAAAGCTTCAAATATCTGTGTCGTATGATCCACTGGTGTATGAGTGAGACCCTGCTGCCCGGATTCAAAACTCTCGAAAAAGTGTCTTTTGGTATATGCCTTGGGCAAACCGCAGACGGACAGCCCGAACCTTCCAAGAGGAGCGCCGGCGAGCTCTATGCTCTTCTATGCCTTCCAAACTTATCTGAGTTGTACTTCGCTCATTTGGATGGAGAATTCGAACTTGATGATGGTATCGCACCCTGTTTTCTGTTCGGCCGTCGGCCTCCATTCAGCAGGTCATCACCAGTCCGAACTATCATTCTCGATATGATGGATAGCCTTGGCGACGAATTAATTGAATTCGTAGCTAAAACCCCCCGCGGCCTGGAAAACCTGGCCATCCGACTCTGCAATGAGTCGGGGCTCGGGGATGAGCGCCATCAGTTGACAGAGGAACTGCTCAAGTACCAACGCCTCTCTCTCCAGCGACTTTGTTGGTATAACGCGGATTCCAGCGCCGGATCGACGGTTCCGAACTGGATGGATCCATCCCATGTCATCATGTTTGACGATCTTCGGGTGGTCAGTCTGGACTTGCTCTATGTAGAGGGTCTACCACCAGATGCCCGATCGAAGGCTATGAATAAGTTCGGCGAGTTCCTTGTACATAATCTTTCGGCGCAAATGGAGGTTGCAGACTTCGATGGAGTAGACTTTTGGGAAGATTCTTTCACAACCGCCCAACTTAGTCACATTAAGCTGGATTACCTAGATGATATGGTTGAGGCGATGGTTAGGTCGAAGCGGTACGAGAAACTGAAGGCCGTTTTCCTAGGAGAAATCCAGGATCTCGTGTCTGGTATGCAGCGCACCCTTTTCCATTTCCCCAAGACTAACAAGGCGGCAAAAGAGCGGGGGATATATCTTCATCTCAAGGGCAGCAAACCTCCTCCTGGGCTCATCATCAACGGAGAGTTTGTGCCGATACCAACAAGAGACTGCATGGTAACAGCGGTGTTTTCCCCAGGGAACAGAGAACGCTCTCGCCCCACCACTTTCAAACAACTTCATGGAACGGCGGGTTTGGATGGGCCAGGCATCGGAACGATCCTCCAGGGGGAAGGCTCGTTGAAGAACACTCAAAACCATCGCGACATTTGAGCCGATCTACGATGTCACATCGAGAATGGAGAGCTATCTTTTTTTCTTCTTCTTTTAATAAGTACCTTGGTTCTAGAAGTGACCTCGTGTTTGGTACTCCGCTCAACCTTCTTTGTATCAGGGTGTCCTTGTAATATGCGAGTGATGTTGACCCTTGTTTCGCCACGAGCCACTTTTTCTGGAAATATCATAATTATTACTCGTTCGACTTGGCCTATGGTGTGCGAAACAAGTTCAACGAAGTAATGCTGCCTTGATTTGTCTTTTTACTCACCACTTCGGGCACCATCATATGTGTTGTGTCAGCTTTCGTTGTAGAAAATGTGTAGCTTGCTTTTCCCTTAGCTACCTGAGGTCCGGAAATCTACCATCGGGTAAAATGAAGTCATATCAGAACCATATTAAGGTCCATAAACAAGTAATAATGGTTATTATTCAAAAAACTTGCCGGGGGTAAGTAAACGATAGACCATTTCGGGTTGGATCACAAGGGCTACAACGTCAGACAACACCAGCATGGCTCGGCCGAGTCGGTGGTACCCTTAACATCGAGCCGAGAGGTGCGTGAAGATGGGACGTTCGTTTTAAAAGTGAGGTATGTGTAAATATGGGCAATAACGCTCCTGCCATTATGCATGAACCCGTTATTGATCTTTGGACGGTTTAGTCCACAGTATATGGTGTTGTGTGTAGTCAAGTACATGTGTACAGGCAAGCGACTGACATAAAACATGGCACACTAAAGCTCTTTTCATGTAAGTTAGGGACCTCATTTTCTTATTAATAATACTAATCATAATAATAAGCTAATTATAAATTATTCTATAATATTTGGCTCGATATTGTGTTTATTATTGGGTTGATTGTTTTGATATTTATCGCTGGAGGTTCTGGGTGTGCCATGTTTTATGTCAGTCGCCTGACAGGCTAGTGTTTTCTGGAGATGAAGACGGAGGTCCGGGACTGGTGGCGATCTAGTGTCGTAATTTGGAATATCATTTTGGTAGGACACCAGGGTGCCTGTCTGGAATAGGCAGATAGGGTACTGACTGCAGGCCATCAAGCAGAGCTCGGCGACCGACTCGTTGGAACTGCCGTGACCGGAGATCGGTTAGGGCACAAGAAAGCAACGCAACCCAAGCAGCGATCTTCGCCAGAGAGGGATGCAGCAGTAATCTGCTCAGATAGCAAAGACAATCCTCCCGGAGCACTGGAGCTTTGGCTCGCCGTTTACGTAAACTGATCATCCTAGAGTAAGTTCCCTGCATGCATAAGTCGAATTTTCCACGCTTCGATAAATAGGCGACCTGGCCTAATTGGTCTAGGGATGCTAGAAAAGACGGCTGGACGCAATTGGGGCTTCGGGAGGGCCCAGAAAAAGCAAAGGTCGCAGAATTAGTCGAGGGCCGGCCGTTTATTTGCTTGTTTCGCCCGCAGCGTATGGAGCCTCAGTGCAAGGATCGGGGAGGCTCGTAATGGCGCTGAGCTGGAAATGGAGGCAGGCAGATGAATGATTCATGGGAGAGGGAATTTCCGATTGTTCCCCGGGATTCCAATCTTATCAGATCGTGCTAGTCTCGTTTGGAGCTCGGTACATGAGAGTACGGGCGGGAGACGAGGCAGGTAGGACCGAGCGACACACTGCCGCGGGGTGACAGAAAAGAACAGTGCACAACGGCCATTGACACCACATACCGCCGCAGTCTCAGCGCACGATAGGGAGTTGCTTTCCAGCCCCGAGTACAGATAACGACATCCTAGGTAGTTTTGTGCCTAGCACTGAGCTTATTACTGTCAACCGAGGAGGGCCAAGCCCCTAGCTGAAATACCCGAGCCTCAGAGCGAGGGTTTGGTGTCTGGGGTTTTATGTCACCTGCGCCAGCAAGCGAGCAATTGGGGCGTGGGCTGTCCGTACTGGGCAGGTACTTGCCTTTTTCTCTCGCCCGCCGCGGAGTTGTTCTGGTCGGTCGCTATCAGGTATCTCACAAGCGTGGGACGGCCCAACCTCTCTCCCTCCTCCGTTCCTCGGCCCCCGTTGCAGTGTTAGTTTTTCCTCTATTTTCCACGCCACACCACAGATATCTTATCGAACGGCCTAAACGTGGTAGCCTCGCCATCTGCCATTTCTGAAATCTGAATCCTCTGCAGCCGTATACGTCGTGCTCATCGCCGGCGTTGTGACCGAGCTCGGACTACGAGAGCTGTACTGTAGCGCAGTACCGACAGCACCAGCGCACCTGAATAGGACAAGGGGGGTGGGAACGCCTAAAAAAAAGCCAGCAACCTCCAAGCCGGCCGAGCGAATCTGCCACCGCAATCCATCCACCGCTGTAAAAGACCAGCAAGCAATTTCCTCAGATCGGCGCCCGACGATAATCGCCAGTCTCTGGGAACTTGGTCTACCGCTGCCACCCTTCGACAGCCGTCCTGGGCAGCTCCGGATTATCCTTACGCACGCCGCAAACCATTGCGCCGACGCCACCCAACACCCTCCGCGGACAATTCGCACCGAACCAAGCCGGACAGCGCGAGACTGCTGTCTGCCAGTCAGTCAAACTGGCGGCTTTCGATCCAAAGCCTCTCGGCGGAGCTTCTCAAGCTGTGGCCGACATGGCCCAGCAGTCTGTGTCCGACACAGCTGAGGAATACGAGTGAGATATAGCCTCTGCCCGCTCCTCTGCCCTAGATGATGCCCGCTTGCTCCCCGCGGACACTTCAACCTCCTTCGGACCTTCACACGCCCTCGGATTCACTGCATTGTATAGACTGTGTGCTAACGATTGGATTTCTGCCATACAGTTATGAATCCCTCCCTCCCAATTTCTCCCTGCTGCAGAACATGGTAGCAGGAGCATTCGCCGGCATTGCTGTACGTACCAGCTTTGAACATGATAACTTGCAACGCCTCATAAGCTCACCAATGTCTTTCCTCAGGAACACACAGCTATGTATCCCATCGATGCGATAAAGGTATTTTGAAGCCGACATATCCCCTCAGTTGAATGCCTCACCCAATTGGGTGCTTTCGTCCCACAAGACCGCCGATTCTGACCTCAACCCGCTCCATAGACTCGAATGCAAATCATCGGATCAAGCGCGACCCCCACCACTTCCAGTGTCATACGCAGCACTTACCAGATTGCTTCCAAGGAGGGCGTCCTTAACCTGTGGCGTGGAATGTCTAGCGTTATTGTAGGAGCTGGTGAGCATCTTCCGATACCCCCGGCCTCTTGTTCGGTCATTGAGCTTGAGATTGGGAGACTGATTTGGCCATGTCTTTAATTTTAGGACCTGCTCATGCTGTGTACTTCGCGACCTACGAGGCTGTCAAGCATGCGATGGGTGGCAACCAGGTTGGAGTCCATCATCCTCTCGCAGCTGGTGAGCCGAAATGTATCCCACTTGTAACCACTCGGTCTTGCTAACGTGAACAGCCTCCAGTGGTGCTGCTGCCACAATCGCCAGCGACGCTTTTATGAACCCTTTCGATGGTACTTACTCGCTACCACGACCTCACTCGTTTTCGCAATGTGGACTGACGTATTTCTCTCTTTCTAGTCATTAAGCAACGCATGCAGATCCAAAACTCGAAGCGGATGTACAGATCGATGGTCGACTGTGCTCGTTACGTCTACAAGAATGAGGGCCTTGGCGCCTTCTACATTTCATACCCGACGACCCTCTCCATGACCGTTCCTTTCACCGCCCTTCAATTCCTCGCCTACGAATCGATCTCGACGATGATGAACCCCCAGAAAGACTATGATCCGATGACTCACTGCTTGGCTGGTGGTGTTGCTGGTGGTTTTGCAGCAGGTCTCACAACCCCCATGGACGTGATTAAGACGATGCTGCAAACTCGCGGCACATCAACGGACCCCCAAGTTCGCGCGGTCAACAGCTTTGTCGGCGGTTGCCAGCTTCTTTACCAGCGTGAGGGCCTTCGTGGCTTCTTCAAAGGTGTCCGACCTCGTGTGGTTACGACCATGCCTAGTACGGCTATCTGCTGGTCAGCGTATGAGTTCTGCAAGTATGTCACATGTACCCCACTCCTATCACATAGGCTAAACAGTTCTGGATGCTAACCACTGTAATAATTAGGGCCTACTTCATCAAGATGAATGACAAACTGTGAGCTTGACTTCTTGCGAAGAGCGAGCAACAGGCCATGGCGGGCCAAAACAGGCCGTGATCAAATCAAGCCTCGGCCCTGTACGACAGTAGATCTGCTTGACAGAATCGAACCCGCCATTTCGGAGAAAATAATACAATCACAGCATGCACCACCCACAAAGTCACGACTCTCACTAGCTTACGACCTCCCATCTCTTTCCTGGTCAGAAACACACCTCCTCGGCATATACGGGAAACAAGGTCGTTTTCTGTTAACGAAATACCTCAAAAGCTTTGGAAAACGCTGCCTTCTTTGATCTTCCCTCCCGCTTCCTCAAAAAAATCTACAGGCGCGCGAATGGTGAATGGCAACAGGGCGAGCCTATTGCATCAGAACCGACATACATTGTACATATAGACACCATTGAAATTTTTTGAATTGATCCCAGGGAGAAAAAGGAGTTGTTCAATTTTTCTCGTGTTTCTTTTCTTGACATGTTTTTTTTCTCCCTATCTTGGAATTTCTTCTCTCTTTCCTGGGACTACGGAATATATCTTGTTTTTGGCTGGCATTCGGGGTCGGCGGCGGACGGCTCGAGGGGGGGATCGGCGAAACATGTAGAGAGAGTTGGTCATGAGCGTGGAGTAAGATATACAACACGAGAGTAATCCTCCACGTGCAAACATTCATTCAATGCCTTGAGCAAGGCTCGTTTCATTTCATGGATTCACATGTGGACGTTGAGTGTTGGCGCCAAGTCTCCTCTCGAGGCGAGAGACTTAATGCTGCCGCCTTATTCTAGCGTTAACATTAGACAAATGCATAGCCATCACGAACAAATGGGAATCCGGAGCGAAATTGCAGAAATGAGAAGTTACATGCTGATTCTCCTACTTGATTTGGAATGAATGAAAAACGCAACCAAAACGCCAGTGGCAAGATATACTACCATGTCATATTGACTCCCATCCTTTGATCCCGCGATTCCAAATGTTCCAACAACCTCCGCCTGGACTCTGAATCGACTCCCCACGCTTGATTCTTTTTCTTTCGCTATGTACATGTCTAAGCACCCTAGAAATTGAAGGAGAAGCCGCCCTGCTGGAACTGGAACTGCTGGCCGAAGGGGTGGCCACCGCCCTGGAAGTTGAAGGGGCTTCCATGGAAGGGGTTGCGCTGTTGCTCCGGGGAGTTGGGGTCGTCGCCCCGGTCGAAGCGGGCGCGCAGCTCCGGGTCGCCCAGGACCTCGTACGCCTCGTTGACCTCGATCATCTTCTTCATGGCCTCGTCCTTACTGAGGCCCGACTTGACCGCCTTGTCGGGGTGGTAGATCTTGGAGGCCTTGCGGAAGGCGGCCTTGATCTGGCGCTCGTCGGCGTCGCTGTCCACGCCCAGGACCTTGTAGTAGTCCTTTGTCTTGCTCCGCTTCAGGGCGATCTGGGCCTTTTGGAGGAGGGGGTTGACCTTGTCGCGCATCTCGGGTCTCGACTCTACGGCTTCCTGGAGGATCCTGATGGACGCCTCGTACTCTTCCTTCTTCAGGAGGGCCTTGCCTCGCTGGATGCGACCCCAGAATGAGCCAGGGTTGAGCTGGAGTGCTTCGTCACAATACTTCTCAACATCTCTGTGGTTTGACTGTATATCTCATGTTAGAACGTTCCAAGATCGGCAAAACTTGCCATGGGGGGGAAACTCACCTCAGTGTACGCCTGACATGCTGCCTCCACGGCATTGTCATACAGGATCGATCTGGCCATCCCAACAATGCTGCCGTCCTGACGGAGCTCCTCGAACTGTTCCTTGATCTTAGGAATGAGACCTCTGTCCTCGCTCGTCCCAACCAGCGCTCTTCCAGCTGTGGTTGTCTGACCTCGCTGCAGATTCCCTTGAATCTTCTCATACGCCTTCTGGATCGCCTTCTCATTCTTATGCAGCTTCTTGCACACCTTCGAGTCAGGGTCAGAGTGCAAGCACTTCCTGATCTGAGAAATTCCATTCTCCAGATCCCCCAGGCCGTAGAAGGTCGTCGCCGAGATGGTAACATGGGGGCTGGTATCGCCCGGCCGCAAGCTGAGGACGTGCTGCATGTCGGCCAAGCCCTCCTCCACTTCGCCTCGCTCGAACCGGCACCGCGACCGCAGCGACCGCAGGGACGCCGCCCGGTTGGCGACCATGATGGCCGCGCCGGCATGGTTGACGCAGTCCTCCCACTTCCCGGCGCCCTCGGCCTCCTGCGCCAGCTTGGCGGCGCCGCTCGCCTCCTCCAGCTCCCTGATCTCCTCCGAGTCGGGGCCCTTGTTGCCCGCCACATACTCGGCCCTGGCGCCGTCCCAGTCGGCCGTCCTGACCTTGATCTTGGCCAGCTGGACGTGGGCGCCCTCGAAGTTGGGCTGGATGGCCAGGACCTTGTTGAAGTCCTCCGTCGCCTGGTTCGTCCGGCCGAGCGACAGGTAGGTGGCGCCGCGCTTGAAGAGGGACAGGTAGTTGGAGGGGTCTCGGGCGATGGCGGCGTCGTAGTACATGAGGGCCTCGCTGGTCTGGCCCTGGACGAGGTGAGTCTGTGCCGACGTGAGGAGGTCGGCTACGGGGACGTCTGAGGGGATGTCCTGGGGCGAGAGGGCCGCGGAGGTGGCCAGCAGGCCGGCTGCCACGGCTAGAGTCCAGAAGCTGCGGGCCATTGTTGAGGGCAGGCACAGCGATTCGGTGTGAAGGAGAACAGACGCGACGAGAAACGTGGCCGGATCACGGAGGTGTTGTATACGTCGATCGACGGGGTTCAGTTGAAAGAATGTGAGTAGCCTATCTAAGACATGTACCTTTCTGGATGTACAGCCAGTCGCAGGAAGAATTGGGCGTAAAAAGGGTTTTCTATGTCGAGGCGAGAGGAGGTCGGGCGGTCGAGTGTATTCGGGCGAGCCTTTGTTGTAGGTTTCCCTACTCTAGAAAGAATTGTCCCATTCGCTGGCTGTCAGTTAAGACAGGAAAGGAAGCAAACTCTGGCGAGGGAGGTTGGGAGCTGGCGTGAAGTTAATTCGGCAGATCGAGGCTGGGTCTAGGAGCTTTAAGAAACGCTGCAACGAAACGCCCACGCTGTCCTTTCTGCAACCATCCACGGACCTGAAGTCTGTCTCTAACCGGCGCAGTGACTTAACGGCAGGTCGAGGCTCCGCCTTATCGCCACGTCTGCCAGAACTTTGAAGGTACTTGAAGAGACAGGGCCAAGGAAGTACCATCACTGCAAGTGCCAGTGGGATGATACCTATCTCTCAAGTACCTACCCACCTCGTGTGCCGGCTGTGGGGCAGATGCTGGTGGATGGTCCCTGGTCCCTTCCATGCCCACCGCCAAAAAAGCAACCCCACCAATTAGCTTGTGCTTGTTCCTCGCCCTGCTCAAGCCATCGACTAGGATCTTGCCCATTGTGACATTGTCCTCGTGGGCGCTTCATGAGGACGCTCCCAATCCCGATACAGTCCACCAATCCCTGTCCCGCTCTTTTCTGTCTCTCTCTCCTCCCCAACGGGAGCAGCAGAGTTCGAATCTAGACAATTGGACCGGCAGACACCCCATCTCAGTCGGTAGGTCGAAACCTACATTTCCCCCATCATGGCCCACCTCCACCAGCGTCACCTCCACCATCGTCACCTCTCCACCGACTCGGCCGCCATATTCTCCCCAACAGTCGCCCGCCAGGCCGCCTCCGCCGCCCGCGACTGGTCCTACGTCGACACCTGGCTCGAGTCCAAGTTCCACAACCGCCCCGTCCCCGAGTTCGAGCGCAACCCCGACACCCTCCGCGCCCTCCTCGCTCTCGCCTCCCTCAACGAGACCGCGGACGAGGAGCGCCAGTCCGTCGCCCGCGCCGACGCCGACGCCCTCCGCGAGCTACGGAAGCACGACGAGCCCGCCCGCAACCCCGGCATCCGCGAGGAGCTCCTCGCCGCCATCGAGGACGACCTGCCCAGGGAGAGCAGGATCGCCCTCGATGGCATGGCAGCCATGGCAGTCGAGGCCGGCATCGCCCACGCCGAGCCGGAGGACCTCGGCGCCCGCATCGTCGGCCTGCAAAAGTCCGTACATGACGCCGAGCAGATGAAGGCCCGCGTGGAGGTCCTGGGGCGCCACATTGCCCATGACGCCCAGCGCATGTCCGAGTTCCTGGCCGCCCTCCAAGGCGACGACTATAAGCTGCCCGAAGACCAGGCAAAGCAGAACCTCGATCTACAGCGCAAGGTCAAGGCTCTTTCCGCCCAAATACCTGAGCTGCAGGAGCGTGCGGCTTCGTTGGCTTCCTCCGTTAGCTCGTCCCACCCTACGATCGACGATGTGGTCCGGGAGGAGAAGGAGTATCTCTCCATCTTGTCTTGCAAAAAGCAGCTCGATTCACGGATGGCCTCCTTCGAGGGTTTACCCAGCAATACAGACATGGCTCGCTCGGAGCTCGATGCCCTGCGTAAACAGCTACGGGGGGTTACTTCTCGTCGTGACGCTGTCTTCGAAGGACTTGTTGAACGCGAGAGTCCTGTGAAGAGACGTTAAGCAAACATTTAATTAGATGGGAACTTCTGCCAGCAGACACCAAGATCTCCAGAAAAAAAAAAGGCTTTGCATTTCCCATGGTATAAATGAACCCTTAACGGATAAATTACAAGTACACTCTGCGGCCAGTACAACTGCTGTCCCCGTCAACCACGCCGGTTCCTGCCAGCAACAGCACCGCCGAGCCTTCCAAACTGCCTGCCCAAACCTGATTTCTTCGGTGGGACTGGGGGCGTTGCTACGGCAGTCTCCTTGGCGGGCGGTATTGGGTCAGCGACACCGACTCGTCCATCCTTACCCCTTGCATCAAGTGTGCCGTCACCTATCCGGAGCTCGCTAACACCAACTGAAGGGCCGTCGTCGCCATCTACTCCGTGTCGTTGTGCTCTCCTGGCCCTCTCCTGAACACTTCTGAACTTCTCCAGAAGCTCCACCCACCGAATGCCGCTGTCCTCACGGCCTTTTAGGCGATTTGGCCTATCATAGTTGGAATTACTGGTAGATGATGCCGTACTGGAGTTAATACTTGCATCAGCCTTTGCTCATCCTACAAGTCGAGGGACAAGGAGCACATACCTTTTTGGTGCGACATGTAAATAACCGATAGAACTGACACTGTTCAGCCGGTTTTTCAATGCTGCAAAAGCCGACGACTGCGGTAACAGCATCAGAATGCCGTACATGCATTTGTACAGGTATGGGTGTTTATCAGGTTCCAGGAGTTGAAGTCGTAGGTCTTGGAGAATATTAGCCCACTGTCCGCGTAGAATACGAGCTCGGTGATACCCACAAGTGAAGACAGGCGACTCTATCAGTTGCACAAGCTTGTCAACTTGAATGAGTATGTTGACTGTCATGTCCAGCTCGCCACTAGTTGCTAGTTAGCTAATGTTCAAACCGGGAGAATGATGGACGGGAATAAGCTCACAAGATCTGTAGAAGGTTGTACGCCTGTTCATATGCTTGAGCAAGCAAACACAGGGAGAAGGTGGCCACAGCGTTATAGCACCATGACCTGAAGAGGGCCACAAACAGTGTTTGCCCATCCTAATCAGCATATTAGTATATCCCATGAAATCAAACTCGCGTCAAATGCGTACCCTTGTTTCTAGATTCCGTAGCCGCTTCCTGACATCCGCTAGTTGCGGAGCTGTGATGAGATTGTTGTTGAGGTTCTGTACCATGATGCTGGCAAATTCGACGTCCTCTTCCTTCTCTATACAATCCGCCAGGGTTCGGTATATCCGTTCAGGGCTAAGACTGATACATAGTTGCCGAATGATGAGATTACCCCTCGTCTCTAGCAGCTTTCTATCGGTAGAGAAGAGTTGGAGAAGGTTGACCATGAAGTTGGCAAAATAATCATCCTCGCTATTTCTGGATATTTGAGACAGTAGTTGCAGGTCCTTGGTTACGACGGCATCGGAGGGGTCAGACAGTGTTTTGAGTAAAGCCGGGAATGTCCCATCGTTGAACGCCAACACTTTCCTCGGGGCTTTTCTGTGTAGCATAATGAGCCAGGTGAGCGCTGCAACACGGGTTGCCTCGTGATCATTGAGAAATAAGAGGGTCAACGAATTAACAGCAGCCACATAGTCAAGGTCTGCGGCTGGTTGTGGAGTTTCATTGATAACTGGATTTGAGAGCGTGCGTTGATGAAGTGTCTGCTGCCCGGGCGTGGGACTACGTATGCTGAGGTCCCGAGAGCTAGAAATCGAAACGCGCTGACTGGATGTCCCTTCCTGTTTGTCACCAGGGAGTGGGAGGCGAGAAGTCGACTGTGCCTGAGATTGGCCAGGGGTTTGGGGCTTCAGGATAGATTCGTCTGACAGTGACACAACATAGTCCATGAAGCAAGTGTTCACTCGCGTAGCCGCCTGTCGAATTGTCTCATTGGAGCTAGCCATTGCCGGGAGCATGTGCGCCAGAATCTTGGGTGTGAAAGGTAGTACTTCTTCCGGGCAAATATCCAGAAACTCGACAATCCAGCGAAGAGACTCCAAAAGGCAATCTTCCTCTAATATACACAGTAAGCACCACAACAAAACATGGGGTGGTCGTGGAGTGGGGGACACAAACCATTGGGAGAGTCAAGGGTGGACGTCAGGATTTCGAGGATCGAGGAGTAGTTGATCTCAACATCTTGGCCGGGGATCCAATCTTCGTCTAGGTCATCCAGTTCGTCGTCGGGGGCCATCTCGGAGTCGATCTCGTCACCCTCCTCGAGGCCGACGTGGCCGCTTTCACTATCAGCGGACTCCTCACGTTTGCGCTTGCCGCCTTCCCTCTGCTTCCGAGACTCGGTGATGCCCTTCTTCACCCGAGCGATTCGTTTAATTTCGCTGAGGAACTTATCAAGGCAGGTTTGCGTGGAGGCTCGTACGTCGGCATTCTGATCACCCAAGAATTTAAGTAGGCCAGCGAGGAATTCCGGCAGGTAAGTGACCAGCTCCAGGTCTGGAATAGAATCCAGCAGAGTAAGCCAACCGACGAGGAAGTTTCGAGTGAAAGGATTAATAACCCAAATCCGATCCTTCAAAAGCGGAATGAATCTTGGGAGTGAGAAGGCGGTAGGTAGAAGTTGTTCACTGTCATCTATTTGATCTTTGTCGTCGCCCTGGAACTCTGGTGCACCTTCAAGAACTGAGATGTACGATGCGGCAGCTTCGGAGACGATATCCTTGATGAGGCGGTCCAGAAGTTCTGCACCGTTCTTGACCGACAGCTCCGAGTCTGCGCCAAGCTGTTGATAAATGAATTGCATGAGCAATGATTCACCCAAACAAGAGGATTGAAGAGCAGTGATAATAGTATGTCTCTAAGGAGATGACGTGGAAGAGGAGACGGAGGGCTACACATACCTTACAAAGTTGATCGAATATACTATTAAAATATACCAAGATCTCACCTTTGGCAACCTTGGCAATATTGTACATAGCCTCGCAGGCGTAGTAGCGAACCCTAGCATCCTGATCGGTGAAACAGGCAAGCACTGGAGGGACAATCCTGGCCAAATAACGAGGCAGCTCCTGATAAAGATGTCAGTGCGAGTTGAACAGAGATGCACCACGCGCAACCGATGACGACTTGGGGTCAATCTCACAGGTCCTAATGCAATGGCTGCAGCTGCCAAACCAATCAATCCGCCATTCCTGGCGTGCGGCTGATGAACAGCATAGGCATAGTCGTCGCATAGCTGATCAAGAATGTCGTAAACCTTCTGGTAATCCTTTGTTACAACCAGATCGCGAATGATTCTCTCAAGCCTACAGAAAGGGTATTAGAGGATGGCAGCACAAAAAGGTGTTTTGATAGCGACTGGAGGCGGGGAAGGTTGGGTGGCAGCAGCGGCCGGAGACCCAGATCGCTTGTTTGAATAAAGGAGGGTATCACGGAATGCGATAGCAAGCTTGAGCAAGATGTGACATGCGGAAGGGCAAGATAGGGGGTAGCAGACAAAGCGAATAGGTGCCATGCAGCTGCAAGATGGGATGGGACCTGCGGGCAAAAAAATGCCTGGCTACCTTGGGCAGGCAGGCCGGGCTTGGTGAAACGTACTCGAGAGCTCCGATCTTTCGCTTATCGTAGAACTTGTCATTCAAAGCGCGCTGGATGTGGGTATCCATGGTCGCTGCTAGACCATGCTGTCCAGGCTATGGCAGAGGGGCTGTTCCGAGGCGCCAGCTTTAGAGGCAAGGTTGTGATGAGGACAGTGACTGGAATCCGTTGGAGGGAGGAGATGATGATGGTGGTGATGATGATGATGCAGCCAGTGTTGATGAGACGCTGGTTGGTGCTGGCAGCCTGTGGCAGGTGGTGACCTAAACCAAGGTAGGCAGTGGGTGTAGGCAGTAGGTGCAGGTACCTCCTGCTGTGGTACCTCTCTATCAGTGGTGAGGCCCGTGTGTGTACTGCCTTTCATGTGCCTTGCTAGAGGGATTGAAGCTTTAGTAGTATAGCAAAGCCAGAGTTGGTTGATGCTTGCGCTGGGCCGAGAACTGGATTAAGCTGCCTGCTGAAAATGCCTTACTGCGATGCCTGGCAGATGGCTATGGCAGTGGCATCAAATGGAATGGAGCAATGACGTGGTGGTTCAACCAAGGTGGTGGTAAAGGTACATGCGACGACGGCAGGTGGGCACCATCCAGCAGGTCCCTGGTACTTGCCTCACCATTTAAACAAAGCTCTAGCAACAAAGCTCACTTCATTCACTTGGCAGAAAGTTGCCTCTCCTTGTCCGCGTGTGTAGCTTTTGGGTTCTTCCACGCGCAGTGACCTGCTCACACGAAAGACTTCTCGGTCTCAAGACACACAAGCCTGCCATTTGTGTTCGGTTGACTGCATGGACCGCCGCCACTTACCTGATATATGTACTGAGGTCAAGAAGTCACAGGCTTTAACTTTCGGGTTGCTTGAGTCCGCCAGAGATTAGCGAGATCAAAACCGAATCCGCACTGCGATGAAATGAAATAAGTAAGAGGAGGAAATATGTGATTGTCAATACACTATCTACATCAATTCATTGGCTACGCAGCTTTGGATAAATACATGAAGGCGTCCACGGTCTCCCAACATCGAGCAGGTAGTCTCGTTATAGAAGCGGAATGACGAAATCTTGCATGAAACATTAATGAATCAGCCAGCGCCGCAAACGGCCGCTCTCAGACACTTTACCATCTGCCAACCGAGCGACATTGAATTTGAGACACCTAAACGTTATACTGCTCATTTTCGACTTAGCGACCGGTTTATCCTGCCATATCATTCTACAGTCGTCTGCTTATAACCACCCTCCGATTTGGTGTCTCATTTCTTTTGTCACCTTGTTATACTTAAGTCGACAGGCTCGTTCATTCCTACTATCTCTCCCATCAGCAACCTGTAGATGGTACCACCCGATTTCACTTCAGAGCCACTACTAGGTTCATCATCTGCTCAGCTGAGCAGCTCTTGTCATGTGTGCACCTCAATCCACACCCACAAAAGTGTCTTGCATCAGTGAATGACCTTGCAATTAATTCCCCTAGTTCCGTTGAGTGTGACTTCCTTTGCAGCTTAACCCTGGCCCAAATGTCAATCTCGACCCTGTGATTCTCTGCTTCGTTTAGTACGTGCCGTCGAACAGTCCCCGCCTCTGCATTTGCGCTATAGCACGCCAGTCGCACCAGGAAAACAAAGCACAATAAAGAGAATTTGGAATCGGGTTGGGTTTGATCTTACTAATAGTTAATAGAGAACGTACGCTAGATATCCAAAAGCTGGGTTTAGGAATAACTAGATCCACGGGAGAAGGGACTATTAATTATATCAAGTACCTTAATATTATATAAAATCGACCCAGCAACTGTTCTTCGACGCGCACCCTCATGAGCTCAACCACTTCAACTAGAACTTTGTATTGCGGTTCACTGGCTGGAGAGAAGACGACATCACCGTCAATTGCCGCTCTGTGGGTGAGGGAATGGCAACTCGGCCAGTGGCAGGAACGCGGGGGAGATGCTTGAATACCTTAGCGCGTAATGGGGGTGGTGGATAGTACTAGGGACAGCTTTTGAACCCGACGATTGAATGATGATTGGATTGACTGCCTAACAACGCCTTGCTGGACCTTCCGGAGGGTTTGAAGGCTAGTAAGTAGGTGACCTTGAAATTAAGATAAGGTATTTGTACATTAAGCTACTTAGAAAAGCTACTTATTTCTAAGTCTATGCCTAGTATTCTTAATATTATACAACTATTTAGAAGTGGATGGCTTTGCCGTGGGTAGCCATGGCAGCCTCCTTGAAAGCCTCTGCCAGCGTAGGGTGAGCGTGGCATGTGCGGGCAATGTCTTCGCTTGAGGCGCCGTACTCCAGAGCCAGGGTACCCTCAGCAATCATCTCACCAGCGTTGGGGCCGACGATGTGAACACCAAGAAGGCGGTCAGTCTCGGGGTCAGCAAGCATCTTAACCAGACCATCAGTGTCAAGGTTGGTCTTGGCACGGGAGTTTGCGCTGAAGGGGAAGGTTCCAACCCGGTAGGGGATGTTCTGGTTCTTGAGGTCCTGTTCACTCTGGCCAACCCAGGCAACCTCGGGGTGAGTGTACATGACGGAGGGAATGGCGGCATAGTTGACGTGGCCGTGGCCCTTCTTGATGTGCTCGATGGCAGCGACAGCCTCCTCCTCAGCCTTGTGGGCCAGCATAGGACCGAAGGTCACGTCACCGACGGAGCGGATGTGAGGGTGCTTAGTGCGGTATTCGGAGTCAATAATAACACGGCCGCGCTCATCAGTCTCAAGACCAATGTTCTCAAGGCCCAGGCCAGCGGTGTAAGGTCGGCGACCGATAGCGACGAGGACGGTCTCGGCGTCGAGCTAAAGAGTTGAGGAGGTTAGCTTCTGTGAATTGATCGCTTCCCGGGGAAAAAAGATATATACGTACAGTCTCTTCCTTGCCACCCTTGACAGAGTCAACGCTGAGCTGGACCTTCTCGCCAGAAGCGTCACCGCTGAGGACCTTGGTGTTGAGCTTGAACTCAAGCCCCTGCTTCTTCAGGAGCTTCTGTATGGTCTTGGAGACCTCGGTGTCCATACCAGGACCACCGATCTGACCGAGGAACTCGACGACGGTGACCTTGGTGCCGAGACGGGACCAGACGGAGGCCATCTCAAGACCGATGATACCGCCACCAATGACGAGCATAGACTCGGGGATCTTCTCAAGGGAGAGAGCACCGGTGCTGGTGATGACACGCTTCTCATCAATCTCAAGGCCAGGGAAGGGTGTAGCTTCGGAACCGGTCGCAATCAGAATGTTCTTGCCCTTGACGCTGGTCTCGCCACCCTCGTTGAGGGCAACCTTGATCTCGTGCTCGTTGACGAAGCTGGCCTCGCCCTTGATGTACTCAACACCGTTCTTCTTGAACAGAAACTCGATACCCTTGGTCAGCCCGTTAACGGAAGAATCCTTGGCCTTCATCAGGTTGGCGAGGTTCAGTTTTACGTCGCCGACCTCGATACCGCGGTTCTTGGTGTCGTGGAGAATCTGGTGGTAAAGGTGAGAGTTGTTGAGGAGAGACTTGGAGGGAATGCAGCCGACGTTGAGGCAGGTTCCTCCGAGGACGCCTCGCTTCTCGATACAGGTGACCTGTGCAGATAGTGTTAGAGGCTGCCGATCACCGGAGAGACCTCTCGTCCCCAGGAGGACTGGATCAACTCACATTCAGGCCTTCCTGGCCAGCCTTGATGGCAGCGACGTAACCGGCGACACCACCGCCGATGATGACAAGGTCCTTCTCATCTATGGGTGGAAGAGACAGACGTCAGTACACGAAATGCCGCTCATTATATGCGACTCAATGGGAGTAGCAACACACCTGACGAGGCGGAGTAGGCACGGCTCCATTGCGACAGAGCAGGGGCGGAAACGACCTTGGGGAGGCTGCAGAAGACGGATTGTCAGTTGGGAGCTAGTTCAGCGAGTGGAGGGCATCGTGTCGTAGGAAGCAGCTCTCCGGGGGCAAGGAGGGAGAATCAAGGAGGCGGACTCACGTAGACCGAGCAACAACCGGTCGGACGGTGTATCTGGGAATTAAACGGCTGGCAAACATACTGGCGGAGGAAATTGAGCAATATGGCACCGAAGACGCCAGAATGCGAAGCAGGGAGACGGGGGGAGATGGGGAATGGATTTTCTTGGTGGAGGAGTGCGAGAGGTTGAGATAGGTGCTAACTTTTGCGGCCCGGCTTCCAGCAACTGGTTGTTGTGATGTATCAGGTACCTACCTAGCTATCTTAGTGGTCAATTGCGCTAGAGTGTAGAGGGATGCACAGCTAATTTTTAGACAAGGTACCTACCTACCTACATGTACCTATATAACCACAATAAACACCTGTATAAGTTGGCGGGGCGAGCTACTGTTAAAAATATGAGGAAGTAAGAAAATTATACAACTTATGCTCGCCCTGCCTTTTTCGGGCGAAAGTAAACTCCCTGCCCTTAGGCGGTGCTTTGCAGCGAATCTACCTGTCGCCACATAGCGAATCTGGAGGGGCGACGCACCTATTGCAGCATACGGTAGCCACTATGGATGTGCAGCAGGTCGAGCAGCTTCTGGGACCTGCTTCTGGGCTGCTGACCAATAGGCTGGCCGTTCTGGACCCGCAGTGCCTCTCGGCAATCCCAACGCTGCTATCCCGTTTCCTGCCGCCCCAACGTGGACCACTTCGGCCTAATTGCGCCCTGGATAACCGAACCAGCGCTGCACATTACGCCGACTATAGCAGGGCCATGTGCCAAGACGGCTTTTGCTCACGGCACGAGTTTCGGCGTTGTCTACCCAGTCGTTTGACTAATGAACAAACACGCAATGTCTTGTTGCAGCATGTGTATCGAAATGGATAGAAATGTGGCTGATAAATCTATATCTCTTACTCAGCCAGCCGGACGAACCAACGCCACCGTCAAGCAATAGCAACCCATGGTGGCGGATCCCATCCCACTCTCTTATACTCCTCCCCCAGACTTATTCGTCCATCTTGATAGCTTGGGCCGCTCCTTCGGCCTTCTCTCTCACGGCCTGCAACTTCTTTACCTCCTTGCTGCTGATCAGTTTAGACTTGCGCACCCTCTTCCGGAGGAACCA